GCTTGAAACTCTTTGCTTATATACTCTGATGTGACCCCCGTCTTCGAAGATATACTGTACCGAGACCGCAAGGCCACTGCTTCAAACAGGCTTAGGATTTATAAAGCGGAAGTAAGATAATAATATATATTTATATATTTTATATACTTAAAAAAATTAAACATTATATAAAGCGTTAAAACATGTGTATTATATATAAAGTATTATTGTTATTATTACTTTATTAACATAATATATCGATATTATGTTATTTTTTTAAAAGTGTATTAATAATTAATCATCTTTAAAAAGAAGGGTTAAGGTAATTTAACAGTTATAAACGATTTGTTAATAAGAAATTCATTTTAACTGTCATGGTCTGGTATAGGTAGCGCATGTGGTGAGTTCTGGAGCCCGGACATGAGTACATGTACCACCATTGAATGTCAAGCTGCCACGCTTGATATTCGACATCCTTTTGGGAGGAACAGCCGTGGCATGGTGGTTATAGTGAGCGTTCCGTCACATTAACCCGATAACATAAGCGACTTTTTAAGTTATTATATTATAAGTTGTGAGATTCTAAAAGGGTCACAAGCCTTGGGGGTGTGAGCGGTCGCTGCAAATGTTGTTGTCATTCTCAAGTATGCTTGGCAGGGCTAATCTATAGCTAAATACCATACTGCACTATGCCAGGGTGGATCTACTGTTCACTTGACAGCCCCCTAGTGTGTACTGCACCTAAGGGCACCATATCTGAGATCCAACATCTGACATAAGTAAAAAATAGTTTTTAAACGTTGTTATTAAATAATGTAATAATAAGTCTGTTTTTTACTTTAAAACTATAAGCATCAATATATTTATATTTATAAGTTAGTATTTTTTTTAACTAGTAGTTTGTTTATAAGTTACTTTCATAATTAGTTTTTATATATTTTATATATTATTAAGTCTTACATTATATATACTACTTATTATGAGGACTCCGCAGTGATAAAATAGGTTAATTTATATAAGCTTTTCATTTATTACCGATTAAATATACGAAAAGATGTAAAATGTAAATAAAAACGCATATATATTTATATAAGTCGTTTTAAATTAAATAGGGACGAGCTTCTTTTTAATAGGTTTAATGTTCGCGTTTTTATATAATAAAAGATTATTAGCTTATAATTTCCATGTTGTTAAAAAAGAGAATCTCGCTCGAGTTGAAAAGGTGTAATAACCGTAACGATATTTTACTCACGCATAATATAGCTTTAAAACACCGGTTATAAACGAGATATAAGTTAAAAGAAATTTTTTAAAGAAACATTAATTTTTTTTATTTAAAAATTGCGGACATAAGCTTATATAAGTGGTGGCTTTTTAAATAAGCTTGTATTATTTTAAAACATATATTTATTAATAATATAAGCCAAAATGACTACTTATATTAATAAGTTACGACGGGTACTTATAAACGTAACTGGCGTTACTATATTAACACTTATTTTTTTAATATAACGTAGCTGATAAGCGAGTTGACATTATAAGCGAGTTGGCACTCGTCATGAACTTTCCAACCAATACGATTCAAACCATCATATCTCCACCAACAACAATGGCACCGCGTTATAACGAATCAGACTTGCAGCTAGCTGTTTAAGCTAAACGACGTGACCCTAATATTCCTATATTTCAGCTTGCGAAACTCTTTAACGTCCCTTGTTCCACTTTGAGCAATAGAGTCAAAGGAATGCCATCACGACGCGACAGCATGCCCAATACTTTGAAACTTATGGTTTCCGAAGAAAATGCCATTTGTTCCTTCATTCTTGACCTGGATGCGCGAGCATTTCCGCCCCGGTACAGTTATGTTGAAGATATAGCGAATCAATTGTTGGCGGCGCGTGGGGCTGGACGCGTTGAAAAGAACTGGACGCGGAACTTCATCAAACGTACACCAGGCCTCCGGACGCGTTTTCATTGGAAGATAGACTACCAGAGGGTCTTGAACGAGGATCCAGACGCGTATTGCGCGTGGTTTCGCCAAGTTGCAGCGGCAGTCGCGAAACATGGTATCCAAGACGCGGATATTTACAACTTTGACGAGACTGGGTTTATGATGGGCATTGTTGGGTCCGGCATGGTCGTTACAAGCGCCGAAAGACGTGGCAGGCCTAGACAAGCTCAGCAAGGCAACAGGGAATGGTCTATAGCAATCTCTGCTGTTAATGCTAATGGTTGGGTGGTCCCGCCGTTCATCATTCTACAGGGCAAAACCCACCTCGCGTCATGGTATCGCGACACAATATTACCACGCGATTGGAAGGTGGTCGTGTCTGACAACGGGTGGACCACGAATGAGATTAGTTTGGAATGGATTCAGCATTTCGACAAGTATACCAGACCGCGTATGACTGCCAGTAAATGCCTCCTCATCCTAGATGGTCACGAAAGCCACCATTCCCAGGTCTTTGAGGATTATTGTCAGAATAACGGTATTATCACCCTTTGTATGCCTGCCCACTCGTCACACAGGCTCCAGCCTCTAGATGTCGGCTGTTTTAGCCCGCTCAAACGAGCTTACGGTCGCAGGATTGAGGATCTCATCCGGCGTCATATAACCCACGTTTCAAAGGAGGACTTTCTTGCAGCGTTTTGTGAAGCACACAACGCTGCTATGACGCCAGGAAACATTCGAGCAGGTTTCAGTGCCACTGGGCTTGTTCCTTTTGACCCAGAAAGTGTCATTTCAAAGCTGGATACTGTCGCTGTCATACGAACACCGTCGCCAGACCCCAATCTGCCACCCACTACTTAGACTTCGAAAACGCCTACCACCATTAACGAAGCGGTAAACCAATCGGTTTATATCCAAAACTGAGTCAGAAACCACCAGGGAAGCTCACCTACATCAATAGTTGATGCGTTGAGCTCATTTTCGAAGGCTACATACGGTCTTATGCATAAGGTCGCTTTGGTTGATTCCCGGGTCCGCAAACTAGAAGAGGCCAATCACCTATTAAGTAAACACTGGAGAACAAAAAACAAACATTTAATAAAAGGAGGAATACTTTCTGTTGAAGATGCAATAGATCTTTAGGCTGCAAAGGATGGTACTGAGCTGGCAAAACAGGAAATGAGTGAAGGTAGTCGTCGTCCGAGGCGGGCGGCAGCGCGTGGGCGACGGTGTGGCATTTGCGGCAATACTGGCCATAATGCGCGAACTTGTACAATAGAGATAGAAACCTCTGAGGAAGAGGAATCCAATTGATTGAATTGAACTGAATGCGTTGTGGTGAAGTTATTTGACATGACAGTTGGAGAGTTCATGACGAGTGCCAACTCGCTTGTAATGTCAACTCGCTTGTCAGCTACGTTATAATCATATAATATTTATAATATACGTATAAAATACTTTAAAATATTCTGGTTAATTAATAAAGGTTATTATTAACATGCAGAAGGTGAACTTCTAACAAAGATTGCTGTTTTAATATTTAAGGGATAAGTAAAAGCAGAATAGGTTACAGAGAGAGCTCTTATGTTTGTGACTTATATAACTTGTTCATAATCTTAACGGCCATTACTTACCTGAGTCTTAACTTGAGGATGCCATGCCGCGAGGTCGCGTTCTGTAGTTGAATACTTGCGTATCTGGTCGTCTCTAGCACCTGACCCTGTACCTCCCATCCTTGTAGCTGGCTCCCCGCAATTCCCAGAGCAATGTATTCGCCGCAGATGGTGTTTATAGCATCGATGGAAGCACCTGTGTAGAAACGCTGCTCGCTGGCATAGCTGCAACCTTTCGCTGCACGTAGCGATGCCGGAAGGTGCGTTCAGGATTCGGATTGGCATCATTGAATGCGAAACTGGCACCCTTGCTATCTGATCATCTTAGACCAATCGAGCTGAGAGTTTTAGTAAGTTTAGCGGTATGGGCCGAAATGCCCTAGCGGCCTCGTAGACATCCACCATCTTTTGCCCGGTCACACCGCTTTGTTGCCTCGACCTGGACAACACCCGCCACCACGGTGGAAGGACAGGACAAGAGCTGTTGTTTAATAGGGAGAACGAAGTATTAATTACCAACTCAGTCTTTGAGGTGATTAGCATGGGCAGAATTTAACGACAAAGTGGGTAGAGTACGCGTCCTAAGATAGTTTGATGGTGCCACCATTACGAGCGGGTTTTGCTTGTTCGGACTTGTACGCAGACAGCTGTGGCATGAAATCTTTATTCTTGTCCAATGGGCTATATGCAACATCGTGGGGGTTAGCTTGGTCGGTCAAGGAAGCGTTGTGGTTGGACGGCTTGAGAAATGATTCTTAATGAGCTCTGGCTGCAGCGATCGAGTGGGGCCCCTCGGGAAGTGGGACTATCGGCAACAATGTTGCATTCCCTCAATGACACGGCTTCATGGCAAAGTAGGTACGGGTGGTCAAGGCTACTCGACAAGTACAAAAGCCGGATCTCCAAGTCCCTCTCTTTCATTCTCTGCCCTCTTTTCAGCTCTAACGCCCTGACTTAACAACCCCAACATATCCTTCGGAAGAACAGGAAACACTACAAGGTGCGACTAACACTCGAATCCCCTCGTCCCTGGAGACCGCTAAATTATGATGAAGTATCAGACCACAGCAAGACCGACAAACATGCCGAGCCAAGTCGTAAAGTGCCCTGGTGGTTGCGGTACAGATATATCGTCGACACAGACCCAAGACGATTGTCCCACTTGCAGCGCGTATGTTATCACTTGCCACGCTTCTTCTCTGCCTCTACTCTTGGTAGCGTGTATCTGACTCGAAAAACAGCAAAAAATGATGCCCAGATGACCAGGAGCCTTTGACGCGTGGACACAAGCTATGTGATGGTCTTCATAAGAGATGGAATGCGAAAGTGATGGCACATGCCTATTGAGATCTACAACTAGATAGTCACCCTTGACAGAAGCAATTGGATATTTCTCTATGCTACCCTCATGACCCATTTGTCCTCAGTTGATGCCAGTTTCTTGCCTTCTGAGACTACTATACCGACTGGCCGAGCTTTTCCTTCAGCGATAGTAGGTGGTGCATCTCTACTTCGGTACAAAAAGCTAATAACCATTCGCGACACCGCTCCTTATCATCCTCCTCGCCCTTAAGCGGAGCGCTAGGTCCTTCTCGCTTCCAATATGGCTGCTCAAACCACTCCGGCCAAAAACCCCCATACTCCCAGTCGATAATAGCGTTGATTTTGAGTGTCTCCGGGTCGACGATGACATTATGCTGACCCAGGTCATTGTGACAGAAGACGTAACTCCCCGGCTCAATATCGAGCTTCGGCCGCCAGCAACTGTGTTGCTTCCAGAAACGGCTATGGACCCGGTTTGGAGCACATAACAGCGTTTGGCCCGGCACGCCAGGGGTATTGGAACGGAGTGACTTCAGCGTGGCAACGTGCTCTAGCAGCTCCTTGGTGACCACCTGCTTCTCCTCCTCGGTGATCTGAGACATGCTGACACCCGGTACGAGTTCAGTACTAAAGTAGAAGGCCCCATCGTCTTCAAAGGTATGCTGTAGGCGGGGGAGCGGGATGTTCGTATTTTCTCGGAGGTACGTCAGGATCGCTGCGTCTGTTCTCCATCGCTGAGGCAGGCAGGCGGATGGCTTCCAGTCGTTGCATGTTGTCATCCATTCATGCCGCCGAAGGGTACGCTTGACGAACGACTTTCCCACCTCGTAGTATTTTTTATCTGTAGTGACTCCAGTGCAACCTTCCTCACGGCGCTCGTTCATCTCTTGCGTGGACACCATTTTGGTACGTGGAAGAGGAAGGGAAAGGAAACAATAAGAGCAATACAGGTCAGACACACGACTTGCTTGCCCTTTAGCAAGTGGCTAGAGGCAGGCTGGCGGTATAGGAGGAGTTCGCGAAGCTCGTGTTGTGTAGCCAAGGTTTGCATAGAGGGAAGATCTGGGCGCAGTGCAAGATACGTTTGTGTATTAAGTGGATGATGCCGAACCGCCAAACTTTAGCCCGACCTGTGACTGGGATCTTGGCGGGGCGTGAGTAGCCTTTTAGCGAGAGCTCGGTTCGGCTTCTTACCCCGCACCTGCCCCGCGAAACTTCTGTGTAATAGTAAGTCAGCTTCCCCCGTCTCTTCCTATCCTCGCCCATATGCATCTCCTCCCAATCATCCGACAACGACCTTATTCTCAATGCTCCAGCTCCCAGCTTCACCATTCCACATTTCAGAAGCCCGCGCGACACCAGGTACGCCAGAGCGAGGTCCGAGCCTCACGTGCGCCTAGATGGGGTGGAGTGAGCGCCTTGCTGGAAGAGCCATGCGTAATGGTGTTTCCGGGCAGTTTGCGCGAGGCCTACCACCTGCTTCCGGCTATCGCGCGTTGGAAGCTGGCATGCACTGCTCAGCAGCCGTCAACTGTCCGCCGCGCTCGTTGTCTGTAGCCTACGTGACAAGTGCTCTATGCATTTGTTGCCACCATGCTTCACATTATTACCTCGTGACGTCTCACCTCGTGTCCAGAAGTGCAAACTCTTGTTACATGTTACACACCTCAAGATGGCGTTTAATACAGCTAAATTGGCTGAATCACACGAGATCTTCCAGAACGCGATTGCTATGGATAGGTTGACTACGGATGAGCCGGCTTTTATGATCGAGGACGACTTGAGCGACACTTCCATCATGGTCAAAACAACTCACCAGCCCGCTATATTAGGCCGCCGATCTCAAACGCCGATATATACTGGATTGCCAGGTACCAAGAGTTTTCAACTGCTTTACAGCGCCCGGCTTCACACGCCGCTTCGTGCTGGAGATTGCGGCAGCTGGGCTTACAGCGTGAAATCGGAGAAGCTTGTTGGGTTCGTTGTAGCGGCCAGTCCCAAGACCGGCTTGCGTTTGGTCAGTCCAGCGGGACCTGCCCTAGAGCAGATGGCGTCGCTTTTCGGAAGGGCCTTCAGCGGAGCGAGCCTCGACTTTGAAGACCGACCAAGGGACAACGAACGGCTGTTGGCCTCGGTAGGCCCAATAGCAACGAATTCCGTATCCTCTAAGTATCATTATAGCGATATAATAACAGCTATTATATAGACAGCATCGAATCAGCCTTTACCAACTTTAATAACCCTTTAAATAGCCCCGGAAGTTTACGGGACTTTGTCGTTTTTGGTAACAACTTTAATAACGAAAATCGAAATAAAGTTTTTAAAAAAACCGTCCCGTTTATTAAAAATCAGCACTTGGGTAATTTTAATCTAAGATTATCCGACCTTATACAAGTATTATTAAATGTGTAAAAAGAGCTGTTAAAAATTATAAAAATGTTTAAATATAAGCTTATATAGTTATAGCTAGCATACGTAGTTAATAACTGGTTAAACAAATACGTAAGCCTTGTTTTTTAATTATATAAAATTCCTGTAATAATTAACGTAACGACTTATAAAGATAGCGATTAGTTTTTTAAGCTAGCTGTTATTAAATTTTATCTACCCGCTTAGGCTAAAAGGACTTACTTATACTCCTTTATTTAAAAACCGGATACAAACTTATTATAAAAAGTTATAATATTAATATTAATTTAAAAAGTGGCGGGATTCTTTACATTTAATAAAATTTAAATATAGGTATTAAGTTTATCAGTCAAATTTACGCGATTACGTTTAATAATTTTACGGCTTATTTTCTTTTTAACTTAATTGAAAATTATAATCGTAACTTAAATAAAATCGATAAATTATGAATAACTTAACAATTTTTTTTTAAAATTATTTTAAATTAAAGCTAAAATAATAAATATATATATAGCGTAAAAAGTCAGTAAAGAAGTAAATATTACGCGGAAAAATATAGTTAAATATTATATTTAATTAATTTATTAAACTTTTAGTAAGTATTTATAAGGTTTAGCGTAAGCGTATCAACGGCGCTTTAACCTTATTACCCTTTTAAGAAATCAAATGGTCAGTTGACTTTACGTCTCTGCATGGGACCCCCTAGTAATACCACTTGTTTCACCCACGATAGCTGGCCGAGTACGTGGTGCGAATTGGCACGTCAAATCCTCATTCCGTACTTCCGCTTCGCTTCCACAGGAGGTAAATGGCGTGTGCGCGGAGAGCTTGCGGCTCGCTCTCTGATCTGAGCGATAGACACGCTCTCCTGTCTCGCAAAGCATTCCAGCATGGCTGTGATGATGGACATGACGGAGCTGATGGGGCTTTGAGCAAGCTTCAAGCAAAACAAGGTACCTATCGACCGCGAACTTAGCGAATGAACTTGGTATCAGACACGAATGAAAAAGTAGGAGAGCGCCTCAATACAAGGATGATCTGGGTATCGTCATACAATAGCTAAGTGAATATTCGTATATCGACATATTGTTCATACTCCCTTTCCGCTTTTCCTGTGCTTCACTCTGATCGAGTCATCTAGACACGAAAAACCAATGACACTTGACATGTTTTAACTGGAAGTTATAATAGCGCTCCCAATTTCTCTTGGCCAGACCAGGAACGGAGGAATGACAGATCACAAGGACGCAGAGCAGACAGCTTTCTCTACTAAAACGGCTACGGTCCAAACCAGATCTCAGTCGTCTACCGTTACATCAGCAGCGGCTGAGGGAGACAACCTTTACCTGCGCATCTTGTTCCTCATTGGTTCGCCTCTTTACTGCTCCTTGTACCACATACACCAGACTACGGAGCGCAGCATTGCATACTCAGAAACTGCACAGGAAATTGGTTGGGGGTTTCGACTTCCAGGGGGCCGGTCAGAATCAGGGCCTGCGCGCTCTTCTTCTTTCTACAAAGGTCAAAACGATGCCTCGACAATCCATGTTCTTGTCCGAGTAGCAATTACGGCGTTTTTTCAACGACAAACCTCCTCGTCGGACCTTCGTGCACCGCAATGCCGACAATTGCTTCCACGGACACGGCTCCATATCCGCCACTAACAACGGTCTTTACGCCACCGCCCGGATGTGCGGGCTACTATTACCAGGCCGACTACTTTTGTTATAGAAATACAGACATTTGTAGCGCAAGTGCCTTTCCTCTCAGTGTTTGCGGCACGGATGCATCGGGAAGCCGTTCTCTGGTAAACTGTTATCCAGATGTAACCACATACAGCGACCTAGCGACATTCGAGGTAGCGACGTATCTGCCCGCTTGGGTTCACGACGGCTACGAGCATAGCGCAGCTCGATGGTATCTTCTGCTGTCCTAGGTGCGTTCCCTTACCAAATATAGAGGCCCGTCAATGGCAGCTGGCTCACGCGGAATGCATAGTGCCCTGTTGTTCGTCGGCGACCTAAACATTCACTCCTGCGAGGCGACGTTGACGGAGGCGGCTATCACGGCTGTCACGTACGAGCAATGGGATTGTGCCTCGCAGCTCCCGACCTTCACGTTCGGTCCGGGGCTGACAGGAACGTACGAGTTGGGCTCCTTAATCATTCCACAAAACGCAACGAACATCGTACGAGCCGAGCCAATCTTGCTTTGGAGCCAGCATGGTGCCGCTACGGTCTCGCCCCTTACAACCAGTGCATCAACGTCTTCAACCGGCAAATCACAGTCAGTGCCCACCTTTGGCAGAAACGACCCAACGATAGGAGAACAACAAAGCCAAGGCCTGCCGCAGACTGCCAAAGTCGGTATCGGTGTGGGAATCTCAGTAGCTGTCCTACTCTTTTCGTGCTTGGTATTCTTTGTGATCAGACAACATCGCAGGAAAAGTTTCAGCACTTTGAAAGACGACGACACCCCAGCCAACTACAGCCGCCACTCTGCATTCGAGGAGAAACCCGATCTCGAAGGCAGCGGGCAAACCTACGCGGTGAAGGCCAAGCTCAATGCCGCGGCGACCCGTGCAGAGCTCGAAGGGTCCCTGGAAGACGAGGGTAAAGCGGGCGTGTATATGCTGAAGCCAGAGCTCGAGGGAACCCTTGGCCAACATGGCGTAGTCGGACAGGTCTACGTGAAGAAGAAGTCCGAGTTGGAAGCTGGGCATGTGGCGAGTCGACCGGATGGTGCTGAAATTGCTGAGTTGGGCGGTACCAGCCCCATTCTATGAGGCACCGGTCCGTTGTGTTTGGCGAGGAGATTAGAGGACCACGTTCCCTTCGGCAAAGGCCTCCAATGTACATTGTATAACAGGCGTTTTTTCCAATTATTCCATCGAGCAGATCGGTATTTGAAATGTTATTTTCCGACAGATGGAGTCCTACGTCCCTAGGCAGGATCATAATTCTCATGGAGCTGGATGGTTGCTGACAACTTACATAGCAAGGGCTGAATATACACCCAGAATCATCACGCTGATAGGCACATTGACACCCGGTGCTGACATTAAGGTTACTTGCATTAAGGTTGCTGCAGGCTGTAAATGTGGTTACACCGTGTCGGCCTTACCTGTAGGCTGTCGTACGCGGCAGTACAATCCGTGGCGATTCTGCCGCCCGGACGGGGGCAAGAAGGGGGTCAGTCTCGTCCATTCTCTCGACCTCCGGGCGCGGAGGCGTATCATACGGGCCCGAGCGAGATGATACACTGCATGAAGGTCTGAAACAGCGTGCTAATGGTTAGCTTGGTGTATCTCGTCAATTCTAGAGCAGTTGTGTTGTTCGACTATGATGACCCAGAATGCCCTAACGACCCCTGCGACAGTGCATACACATTAACATTTAAGCTGATGCTTCTATTAAAGCCTCTCCTTCACCCGTCTCCCTTCAGTGTCTCTGCATATACTCCTATAACCACCGTATAACCACTTTTCTTATGGACTTGTCCGAGAAAACCAAACCTTCTCATGGCAAAAACGATGGCGAAGGCGCACCTGTTGTTCGACTGCATTGCAACCACTTCAAACCCCCCACGAACTGTCCAGCGTTTTGAAGTCGCTTTGGAGCGAAGAAAGATTTACCGTTGAGATGCGAAACAACATGTACATAATACGGGTATACGCAAACTTTCCAGATGATGATCTCGTCGATACCGAGCGTTGATCTCGGCAGCCACATGACCATTATAGACGCGGGTTTTAGTCCAATGCGCAGCTGCTTCTATGAACTAAAAAACGAGGCCGTTTAGCAACCTCCTAGCCTTAATCCATGACCCATGTTTCTTCACGTGTTTCTCGTGTTAGCATCCTATGCTTTTAAAGTCTAGTCCTCTTGTGTACATATCGTTCCAGTAGCCGTCCGATATATGTCGCATTGGTAGATGAAGCAGGTGGTTGTTAACTGCTGGTGAGGGAAACCACAAGGGGAAAAACCTCGCAGGAGTGGGTGTTATGGAGACAAGCTGCTTGGCTATCGGGCTCTGCAATAATGGGGCCTCTACACTGTCGTGTGCTGGTTGTCGACTCGCACAAGCTGGGTCAGAAGGGTGCCGTAGCAGGATTCGAACCACTTGTTCTCGTCACCCACCGCACAAACGAAAACACAACCAGGCGCATTTGCCCATTGCGCCATACGGCCTGATGTTGTAGATGGGTTGTATTGGGAAGTCTAGCTGGACTCGCAGTTCTAGCTAAGTGACCTCATAATCCGGTATCTAATCTATTATCTAATCACACATGTGGATCCGGTATGGATAGTTTGGATGTTGGAATCGCATGGATCTAACAACAACACAACAAATCTGTTCAGCTGGCTTGTACGTTGTTTGAGGCTGTGTCCAGCCAACTAACAGGGAGGAAACGATTGGGTACAACAACATATTTAACGAAGTTATTACTTTTATTTACGAGTAATAGCTTTTATTTATTAAATCGGCAATATTCGTAATAATAATAATAATAATAATAATAATAATTTAACAGACTTTTAAATCCATTATAAATAAGTGTTCATTTTTAAAGGTTTTTAAAACCTGAGTGGTTTTAAAGATAAATTTATTTAGGTAGCTCGATGTTAACGTAAGATGACGTAATTAGTAGCCTTGTTTTCTTAAAGCTTAACAAGTCCTTTCCTTATAAAGAAAGAAAACGACGTTTTCGTCGTTTATTAACGTTGAACGTTATATAATGAAGTTATTTTTGCTTTATTTATAGGCTTAAATACGTATACGTTGTCTAACTTAATGTAATACGAAAGTCTTGTTTTATAAAAGTGAAACTATATAGTGTTTAGTAATTTTTAAAGTATATAAAAAGGAGGTTTGTTAGTTACTGCCGAAATCGATAAAATAATATAACGTAGCGAGATCGGAAAAATGATATTACGCGGCAAGATTAAAAGAATGATATAACGTAGGCTTTTTATTTTTACGGTTATTTAAAGTGTTATTGAGTATTTTTATAATATAGTTATAATTTTAATTAGATTGTAAAACGTTACTACGCTAAATACGTAAATAAAATATTACAAAGTCAATAAAAAGAAGTAATTTTATCAATAATAAAAATTGTTAAGTTTTTTAACGGATTTAATAATAATCGACTGCTTAATTCATTTAGCGGGCGTTTCGTTTTCGTTTTTAGCGGTAAGTCTTGTAACAGCCGATTTTTTCGCCGCAGCCGGAGCTTTTTTTGCAGCGGCTAGAGCTTTTTTCACAGTGGCCGGAGCTGTTTTCCTAACGGCCGGTATTGTTATTGTAGCGGCTTTGTTAACATTCGTGGCTTTAAAAGGCGTGGTTTTAACAAGCGTGGCTTTTTTAAAAAACGTAGCTTTGCCGGTAAGCGTTTTAGTTTTGATTTTGTTTTAAAAGTGTTGGATCCATGTGATTCTACAGTCAAACCATCCATACAGAACCCACTTGTATGATTAGAGAAGAGATTAGATAAGAGATTAGATAAGAGATTAGATACCAGATTGTGAGGTCACTTAGCCAGACCTGCAGGTCCAGCTAGACTTCACAATCCAACCATCAGCAACATCATGACCTTGACCCCATACTCGAGTATTATGATTGATCGTTCAAGCCTGTTCCCATAAAAAGATTTTAATATTATTAATATTGCTTTTTATAAGGCGTGGTTTTAAAAAGGTCGTATAAAACTATGCTTTATAAGGATCGGTTTAATAAAAATGTCGTTATTATTATTATTTAAGTTATTCGAGCTTTAGCTTGAGTTAAAAACGATTAGCTTATATCGGTTTTTTTTCGATTGTTTTTTCGTTTATAATTATTTATTAAGTTCGGCATTTTTTACTTAAGCGATAATGTCGTTTATTTCGGCATTATTAATGTATAAGGTGTTTTTAAATAAATGATTTTGGGTTTTAATTTTTACAACAGTAATGTTATCGTTATTAACGCGAAGGGGATAAGCGGCATAAGGAAGACGTGTTAATAAAATTTCGGTAATTTATATAAAACGTTTTTATCTTCTTAATATTTCGTACTTATTGCTGGGTTTTTTGAAAGCGTTTAATCGTTTCGTTATTATTATTTTACTGTTATCGAAAATTTTTATAATGTTTTTAACGGATGCTATATTGTTTTTAAAGGATGTATCGTTGTTTAAAAAGATTTTTATAACTTATTTTAAACGGTATATATTTGTTATTATATTCTTTTTATGAAAGCCTGGCTTTTATTTAACGCTTTAATTATCGGCTTAATTATTATAAATATTTTATTTAATTTAAAAGGCAAGTTGCTTTTTGTTAAGCGCTTTTATTTATTAGTTTGCTAGAAGTGCTAGCTATTTTTTAAGTGTTTTCCAAACTGCGATTTAGTTTTAAAAGCCGGCATTTTACTCGTTTAAATCCGTTTGTTTTTTACATATAAAGCTAGATTTACCGGCGTTACTATCGTTACATTTTTAATTATTTAAAGCTTTCAACTTATTTTGGTTACGATCGTCTTTATCGTAATCGTTTTTATCGTTATAATTGTTTTCGTTATCATAATCGTTATTCTAAGATTAAATGTCGTTGTCGTCGGCTTGGTTTTTTTCCTTGCTATAAGAGGACTTTTTGTCGACGTATAAAGTTGTTTTGAGTTTTTCAAGGTCGATTTTTTTACGAGCTTTTACGCTAGTTCCGAGTTTTGTTTTACAAAATATGTTTTTATTTACTTATATTTTTTAATATAAGGGTATGATTTAAAGTGTTTGTTATTAATAAGTTTAAGCGAATAAATTACATTTATTTTATTAAAAGGAAATTTAATAGCTGCGGGAAGTGTGCTAAATTTATAATTAGTAGAGTTTTTATAAATACGTATTGTTTTAATTAATGTTTAAGAAAGCAGCTTATTGGAACGAAATTAGGCTTTATTGCTTTTTTATTATTTATTGGTAATGGCGATTAAGGTCTTACGGAGATTTTTATAAAGTTTCGTTTCAGAGAACTGGTAGTTAAGCCGGATTTATGACGGAACGCTCACCATAACCACCAAGCCACGGCTGTTCCTCCCAAAAGGATGTCGAATATCAAGCGTGGCAGCTTGACATTCAATGGTGGTACATATACTCATGTCCGGGCTCCAGAACTCACCACATGGGCTACCTATAGCAGACCATGACAGGATTTTAATCAAAAAGTCGAAAACGTTGTTAAAGCTAACGTGTTAACGAAGGGGAAAAGGTCAAAAGATTATAATCTAATATTTACGTAAAGTATCATATTTTTTGATTTATTAAAATTCGTTACTTTTTATAATACGGTTTATAACAAGGTAACGTTATCTAATTTAATTTCAAATTTGAAAAATGTTTTTATTTGTTTCGTATTATTTAAGATGATTTTTTTATTTGTTATAAACGTTTTAAAGATCAGTAATTACGTAATAAAAAGCAAGGTTTTTCGTTTTCTTAACTTAAAAAGGATTGCTTTAATTAATAACCGTATATTAAAAATGAAGGGTTTTTTTTTCAATCTTTTATAAAGTTTTTTATAATGAAAGTTACGATGCTTATTTTTTATTGCGAGGCTATCGTAAAGTTATGCAGGAAAGATAAAAAAGTTACGTCGGTTGCGAAAATAAATTAAGTATTGATATGGGTAAAAAAATGATTAAAGTTTGTAATAAACTTTATACCTAAGTGTCAGATGTTGGATTTCAGATATAGTGCCCTTAGGTACAGTACCCACTAGGGGGCTGTCAAGGGAACAGTAGGTACACTCTGGCATGGTGCAGTATGGTATTTAGCTGTAGATTAGCCCTGCCGAGCATACTTGAGAATGACAACAACATTTGCAGCGACCGCTCACACCCCCAAGGTTTGTGACCCTTCTAGAATCTCACAACTTATAATATAATAACTTAAAAAGTCGCTTATGTTATCGGGTTAAAATTAATTACTTATTAACAAATCGTTTATAACTGTTAAATTACCTTAACCCTTCCTTTTAAAAATGATTAATTATTAATATACTTTTAATGGCGTCTTCAGTGGATGCCAGATCGGTGTATGTAGACAAGATTGTCGGCTCTTCATTTGCCCCTCTGGAAAATATGAGACTACCTACCGTTCGTCCCTTATCACCCTGGTACATGTATCTGGCTCGCCTGGGAAACCCATAGCTTCGGGAAAACCCGACAGTATAGAGCAACACAGACATGTGTACTCCTCCGCCTCGGGCCTGAATCGGCTGACCGGGATGGCTTCAGATTGGCAGTCGTTGTCGTCGTCGTCGTCGTCGTCTTGGACCAGGGGCTGGTCGACCTTGCCAGACCAGAGGCAGCGGGAACACCGACCCGACGACAGGAGCTTCGATATGTCGCAGGACATTGCCTTTAGGTTGCCTTGTTCCTTACCTAGAGTTCGAAGTACCTAGGATGTTGATGTTGATGTAGGCGCCATTGTTGGCACCCAGCTGTGATGGAACCCGATTCAACGCCAGATAGGGGGAGTCAGCTTCGTTCAAGGCTGACCCTGACCGCTTCCAATAGTCTCGCCTGATCTGATCAGCTCATGCTGTGTGACGCTATACATAAGAGAGCCGGACCAACGTGAAAAAATATCGTTGCGAACGCTGGGCGGTTCGTCGTAATAGAAGAGATTCCACTCTGCCCCTACTCAGACGCGCAATGCCGGTGAGGCAGATATATATCGTTTATTCGCAACTGCGGAGTCTGTCATTCTCACCTTTCTAACGTGGATGTCCGCGCCAGTCATCGTCTCACGTCAAGAGACGTGTTACCGGCGGAGTTCAACTGACCCTTTCTGTTATCCACCATATGGCATCCAATTCCTCCTACAGCCAGGAGCCGGGGCCTCCGTTATCATCAGTGTCACACTTGCCGCGCCGTCCTGTCATACACCAATCCTCCTAGCGAGGCCCCTCCCTACTCTCCCTCATGTCTATGTCCCGACAGGTATCTCGACTCCCCATCCTCGCCGTCCCTGGCATACCATCCGGGTTCTACCGGCGCCGCATCCATCTCCAGGATCTGCGTGCCGGCGGTCTCCTCGGGACGGACGTACATCTCGCGCATGTTGTCGTCGGGTTTCTCGCGGATGATGCCCTGGCCTTCGGCCTCGTGTGTACCTTCAAAATAGACCTGGGTCGGCTCGGTGAATAGGCTGTCGACGTCGACCGGCTGCTGGGCACTGGCTCGTCCTTCGAGCTGTGTGAGGCGGCGCCGGAAGTGGCGAAGCGTTAGCCAGACCGCGGCTAGCCCGGCGCCGACAACAACGACCCCGATGCTTACGCCGATTCCGGCCCAGGCGCCTCCTGATAGGCTTTAAGCGGAGGAGTGCGTTGGCGCCGAGATGGCCGTGCCGTTGTCGGTTCCGTTACAAGCAAGGTGCTTGATGAAGCCGTTTTGCAGTTGGGAGACCAGTTTTGAGCAGCTGAAATCGTCGTTCCACGCCTCGATCGTGACGTTACCGGCGGCTGTCAAGGCAGGAAGGTAGTTCGGTCCGAGAGACCTGTGGCTCCAGTCAGTCCCCGTATCCTCTAGCTATGAAAAAAAGATGAATGAGACAGGGGCCCCACGTGTCGATATTGCCCCGGAGGTGGATGTTCGTGGCCGATGCCAGCTTGGGAAAGGACGGTATCATGCTGGCTGGGTTGTCTATCATAGTTAGGTTTGTGACCATGGAGAGCTGCAAGAAGTCGAACGTGCAGTTCGTGTTGTTGTTAACGAACAGGTCTGGGGCAGTTGCAAGATCCGGGAGTTTCACGAGGGCGTTGTAGTTCGAGGTGATATTTGCTTCCGAGCCAACGGTGTGGATTCCGCTCAAGTCAATAGCGTCAGAGGTGATGAGAGTCGATGAGTCTACCAGCAACGCATCACTGATTGCCGTGCTCGATAGGCCCATAGTGACATCAGTCGTGTTTTTCAGTGCCAACCGAGAGAATGACGTCGCATTCTGCCATCCATACTTGCACCACACCGTCGCGTCAGTGATCTCAACTTCACGCGCCGAAAACAACTTCTGGAGTTGGGAGCAGGAGTCGGATATGTGAATGTCGTAGTAGGAAGTCAGCTGGCCAAGGTCCACCAGACCCAAGTTAAGCGGGTCTAGCCCATAAACACTTGAGAAATCCAGACTGGTAAGCTTGTTCTCTAGAAGTGGCGCCGATATACTGGACAGCGAATATGCCTGTGCTATCGTGAATTGTGTTATCCCTGTGAGCTTGGGGAATGCCAATGATCCCAACCGTGGGCTATTGTAAACATCCACTTCTACTAGGGTGGTGATAGTTGTGAAATTGAGCTACCCTGATGCATTGCGAATCTTGATACCCCACAGAGTCCATATAGGGCATTGAGGTAGCACATCGAGCTGCCAGTTGTCGATATCAGCTTGCGTGGTGATGTTGAAGAAGCCCCCCGAACATATTTCGTTCGCTACATTCAGACAAGCGAGTCAGCGGAAACAAGCGCTACTTGCGGTTTTCTTATTTATTTACACATTTTCGCTTCCAACCGAAGTCAACGTCCCCCAGCCAGAAGGAGCCTGATTCACGTAATTGGACGATAGTCTGAGTTGTCGAAGCCGTTTGCTCCGTGGGCGATAAGATTTGTGTCTATTCGGGAAGACGAAGAGAGAAGGAGAGCAGTCCTGAGAAAATGAGAGAGGCCGATCGATGATGTGCAGGGAGGAGCAGCATGTTCATTTGGTCGTGCCTAGGGGCTGAAGAAGCACGAGATTTCATCATCGGCATCGTATTGGACTTGTTCGGAAGCCATGCTCAACAACAACCAGGCTTTCGATAGGGGTTATGAATATTGGTTATTAAAGGTGACAAAAGGATAGTTGGACCAAATATCATGATAACCAAAATACAGTGCTTATCCGGTTTTTAATCGCTTGGCAGCCACCTTTGTTCCATTTGAGACAAAGAGTGGTCTGAAAGTCGTCATACCTTCAATTGACCAAAAGGATGATCCGTTTCAGTTATATATCTGTCCAAATGGGACCCGACAAGAATTAGGTCAGTGATGGCTACAGATACAACAGCTCGCTCGTTTTCTGAACGCCCTCAGCTGGCCAAGACCCTATCAAATTAACCTGGTTAGTGACGTGGAAGATCGGAAGGATTGTCCTCATAAAGTCCCTAGAGTGTGGTGGAATGAAGTGCGGTGCCTATGTATTGTTCCAGTTCTGGGGAAAAAAGGTCTTGGACCCCTATCTACTTTCCCTACTCGTTCCCAGTTGCACCGGGGAGTCACTAAATTAGCGTCCGAAAGCCAACACCCGATCCTGAGAGCGTCCCAATGCAATTGTTTTAGACTTGGCCAGCTGAGGGCGTTCAGAAACGAGCGAGCTGTTGTATCTGTAGCCATCACTGACCCAATTCTTGTCGGGTCCCATTTGGACAGATATATAACTGAAACGGATCATCCTCTTGGTCAATTGAAGGTATGACGATTTTCAGACCAGTCTTTGTCTCGAATGGAATAAAGGTGGCTGCCAAGCGATTAAAGACCGGATAAGCGCTGTATTTTGGTTATCATGATATTTGGTCCAACTACCCTTTCGTCACCTTTAATAACTAATATTCATAACCCCTATCGAAAGCCTGGTTGTTGTTGAGCATGGCTTCCGAACAAGTCCAATACGATGCCGATGATGAAATCTCGTGCTTCTTCAAGAAGACCTCAGTCGACCAAGCCGAATGCGACCGACTAGCCAAGGACTTTGTCGGGGGCGATATCACCCCCGTAGTCATACAAGGATCTGCAGCTACACTGTCTACGGTGGCCGGAAGCTTGATTATGTGATCCAGTTCCGACTTCGTTCCCTGGCCCTTGAAAGCAAGACCAGTGAACTGGCGCGGGATGTATATGGCAATCTCGCCCCAGAGGTGTCCTTCAAGCAACAGCTTGGCGAGGCAGTGGATGGTAAGGAGCCGCTGTTGGTCTATGTTATGACCCGCTTGAAGGGCATGAGTCATTTGGACTTCATATTGGAAGACGGCTTCCCTAAGAATTCGCCTGAGAACTTTGCGCGGCGTCAGACGCTGATGAAAGACGTAGCACGGTACGTATCAGTTGCATATGAGCCGGAGTCTTTGTCCAAATGCGCTGCTTACGTTGTCCATCTAGATTTATCGCTCTGGCGTGGAAATCTCCTCAGCCAATAGATCCGACCCAGCGTAACGAACTGCATGATACCTATCAGAAGGAACTTCAGCAGCTACTAGGCGCCTTGCCGCCGCGGTTTCGCAACGTCGTTCAGCACAGCTTGGATATGTTGCCAGAGATCTTCCGACCTCCCATGGTTCTCCTTCACAAAGACTTCGGAGACTGCAACATCTTCGTGGACGAAGCTTGCCACCTGGTCGGTGTGGTCGACTGGGCCGAAGCAGAAGTCGGCCCATTTGGGACGAACCTGCACTCTCTCCAGGGGTTGATGAGCAACCTGCATCTTTCCAAAGGGTGGATCCGTTATGAAGACTACGATGCACTGGTGGCTACGTTTTGGGAAACTTTCAGCACCGAGGTGGGTGGGCTTGATGCAGGAGACCTCTGGGTAATTCAGGCCGCAAGTGTGGTAGGTCTGCTCAGATCTCGCGGCTTTACTAGCCGTCTGGCGAATATGCCGGAGCCACAGCCGATTAATGATGATGCTTCGGGACGTTACAACATGATGATTTTAGATGGTCTGCTGTTGAACCGGGCCACTAGATTCGAGGGACTCGGGCTCTTCGAAGCTGATCCCAGCGTGTAGTGGTACTTTTGTCAGGCCATCTGCAACTGTTCAACGCGTGTATCATGGTTGATCTGGTTGATAACGTGTATTCTGGTGATTATGGTTAAAGTGTTGTGTCTCTGTGAAAATCCTTCTGTGGGCTAGGTGGCCTAAAAATGCCCTATTGGCCTTGTTGGTGCACTGCCACCTCCCTGAACGCCACGGTGGCTTGTGCGCCATTCAACAGCAACTTGCTTTGTAGGAACTCCACAGGGCGGGATGGTGTTGAACATTGTGGGATTTCAGAATGGCATGTATCAGAAAAAGAAGAAGAAGGATTCCTAAAAGAAGTGCCTTCTTACTCAAATAAGATATTTGTGGGGAGCGCGAAATCCTAGACGTCAAAATAAGCAAAATGATCCAAGGTGACTAACTGACTAACCTCAAGTCGACTACGGACTAATTGTACCTAAAGACTCCAAAGTTGTTCATTTTAGATCTGATATCGAGTACTACATGAGTCAGGTCGAGGTGGAGCCATATGCGAGTCATTATGTTTGAGCATGATGATTCCGAGGGAGTTGAATTGCCCTGCATACCGGGTTTGGTCAGTGGCAAAGCTTCTCAGCGACTGTCTAGGTTCCTTGCGACGATGACTGCATATCAACATTTGCTCATCACCCACTCAGTAGACAAGAATCGGCTTAGCATCTTCTGCGACTCCTTTCCACAAAGCCTCTATGCCCTCGACTAGATCCGCGGGTAAGGGCCCTACATGAATAGCTGCAGCATATGCCTCGAGCTGTTGTTGGTTCCGAGGTCCAACAATGACGCTGTCCCCTCTGACCTCGTCAGCATAGAATGGTTCAGCAGCCATCGCATGCTAGCATCTGTCATGTCGATGTCGTGAGCGTCGCACAGCGCAGCTAGCTTGCGTATCGCATCGTGGAAGCTGGGTTTGTCGTACCAATGACGACCCGCCATACCCATTGCATTGTCCTTGGAGACTTCGAAACGAGTGCCTTTGAGGGCATCAGGGTTATCTGCAAAGGTGACTTTTCCGGTCAACATACCCCCGGCTAGTGGGGAGTAGGCGATGAAAGCGACATTGTGCTTGCGGAGAAGAGGAAACAGGGTCGTCTCGTAAGTGCGGCATAAAAGGTTGTATTGGCCCTGGTAGACGCTTGGCTTAACGTAGCCTTGCTCCTCGCAGATACCCAGGTATTCTTTGAACAAGTCCGGCGGGAAGTTGGAGACTCCCGTTTTTGCGCATTTGCCCTGCCGGAACACGGCATTAAAACCGGCGGCTTGCTCTTGCAGCGGGGTGACGTGATCGGGGCCGAGAGCGTAGAAGACGTTGACCTGGTCGGGTTAGCGGAGGAACTCTGACGCGTCCACGTAATCATGAAAGGACGAGAGTGATAGCAGTCGTACCTTGTGAGCCTTGAGACGTTCCAAGCTTTCCCTCAATGGTGTGGCGATCGCCTCTATAGTGAGGGTCTTGTTCCCACCGTCGAACCACATCACCTTGGAATCGACGAGAAGGCCATCGCGTCCGATCTCACCGATGAACTTCTCTGCCAAGCCTGGATTGGTGAAGGGATACAGGGCGACAGGATCAATCTCTTGACAGTCAAGTTTGTCCAGGTTGGCAATCTGATACTGCACCTGGTCTATGTCGAGATTGTGACCCCAAGTCCCACTGCCAACCAGGATTTTGGGGGCCATTATGAAAGTACGGAAATTGCGGAAGAGATCGTGTCAGCGGCCGTGGGGAGGTGAGAAGTGCGCATATAGGTGTGTGTTGGTGCGGGCGGCGGGCGGCATGCATAATGCTACCCCTTGCTTAACTTTATGCAGGTTGGCTCTACTCGCGCGGTACAGGTTGGCCACAGTTCCTGCGTAATAATACATCGGCTTTGCCACCTCGCATTTTGAGGGGCTTTTCAGTTAGGCTTAGGAAGTACTGGTGCTCTGGAAGAATAGATACTACCATTCAAGAGACCAAAGCAAGATGGCTGATAATTCACGTCGTAAAGCACAAATTAGCAATTACTCTGCTAGACAAGGTTCCTTGAACATGTCTAAAATCTCGTTCGTTCGTGTTAGAGGGCCCTGGAGGCATGTATATGTTGCCCTTCTACGTGCTGGTGATACGTCCCGTTCTGCACGCGGAAGAACACGTCCTGCGCGCGGAAGAAAAACACAGCCGTCCAGTAGTAGTTGGAGAAGTCATCGGCAAACGTGCATGTCGTACCGCTTCGGTTGGGTTTATCATGTCCTCGCGATACGTTAACAGGTTAACAGCATTCTCAAGCGCCTGTTAGTGAAATCACTCATGCGCAATGCTTGCTTTACCTCCAAAAGGAGCTGATGTGGGCGATGGTTTCACTATTAACCCCGATCGCGACAGTCCGAAGTCAATGTGCCTGTCGACCCCAGGCTGGGCAACTCAAGCATGCAAAAAGCATAGTTATACTTCCGACGACTCGTCGAACCTTCAATGCCATAGTCAAACGTGTTAGTTACGGCTTTTCCGTCTTTCTTAGGTCTCATTGGTCACACAGGGTTAGGGTTAGGGTTAGAACCCATCGATCGTTTTAGCGGGCTCCACAGTAGGCTCTGTAGGATCTGCTGCGGGGCAGACCTCACCCTCATCACACTCGCTCATGGCTCATGCCAGACACCTCATCCATCACACGCCAACTGCAAGCCACACCAACAATGTCAAACAGTGACATCGACACCCAGCTGTTGCTGTTCCGGCGCCAATACCTACAGCTGTTCGAGCCAGACTTCCTAGCCTGGCCCCCGCCCCAGCTCCTCAGAAGCTCCGATGCGCAGACGTGGCTTCACAAGAACCTCTTCGACGAGAGCCGAAACCCCCGGCTGCCGCCTGCGAGGTACCAGCTGCGTGTGCTCCAGCCGCTTGTCACCCGGATAGAGAAAGCAATACATCATGCAGGTGAAGGGGTACGTCTCTGAAATCCTGGAGCCCTCCCCCGGCCGCTGACAGAGTCAGTAGGAGCTTTGTGATGATTTGAAAGCGCGCCTCGCGTCTCTCTCAACGCACGGCTTCCCCTCAGAGTCCCTGGCAGTTCAGGAGAACGCCTACGTGACATTCACATGCCTACCAGAACATCGAGTCTCAAGTGAAGAGAATGACGACGCAGCCGACGACCCCACAGTCACGCTTCTCGAGCATCGAAGTCTGGTACAAGGGTCCAAAGTAACCGGTTACCGGACCTGGGAAGCAGCGCTCCACCTAGGCGCCTATCTCCTCACTGAAGCCGGCGCGCGCCTCGTCGCTGGGAAGAGCGTCCTGGAGCTCGGGGCCGGCACGGGGTTCCTCGCTGTTCTGTGCGCTAAGCATCTACAGGCACGGCATGTCACGACTACGGATGGCGACGCGGGCGTCGTGCATTGCTTGAGGCATAATCTGCGGCTCAATGGGCTTGATGATGGCCGGCGCGTGAAGGAGGCTAAGAGGTTGTGGTGGGGCGAGGAGCTGAGGGGGATGTGGGTGGAAGAGGCTTGTGAGTGTGAGGGTTATGATGTTGTCGTTGGTGCTGACATCGTGAGTTTCGCTCAATGATGGTAAGCGCGAGGTATGCTAATTGGGACTCAGACATACGAGAAGGGGGCTGTCATGACCCTTGCGTTGACGCTGCAACATCTGTTCGATCTCAGGCCGCGGCTGGTGGTCATCATTGCTGGCGTGGTTCGCAACGCTACATTCCAAGCTTTCAGAGATGAGTGTGGTATGCGACCTATCACGTTATATAGCATTGGAAGGAAGTATACTGACTATTGTGTCTTACCAGTGCGACGTGACTTCCTAGTTGAGGAAGTGCAATTTGGAGTGAAGCCGATGCGTGAGCAGAAGTGCTTGTTCTACGCAGCAGCCATGCCTATCAAGATTCTGAAGATTACTCGTCCTGCTTGATACATCAAGCACCTTCGCCCTCTCGCACTGCAGGGGTGATGAGACATTGCAGAGGAGACTGGCAATTGCTTACCCGCCCTTGCGTGCCAACCACGACCATACGCCAGCGAAGCTACGTCTCACGAGTCGGGCAAGATCTTACGGTGTAATGGTCATATTGCTACCCATACGTATGAATAGCTCAAGCCTACAACTGGTGGGCTTCGGCAGGATCAAACCAGAATAGCCTGTACCAGGGCAGCAACAACAGTCCAGAAGCCTGCACTTTGGATCCCAGCACCGAGCTGCCAACTCACGGCAGAAGAACTCTCTGTCGGCGTAGCACTGGCTCCAGAATCCGTCGGAGTTATAGTGCTAGTCGCTGTAGCGGTCGGAATGACCGTTGAAGTGGAACTGCCCGTGAAATTGCCGACGCCAGCGAAGACCTCAGGGAACAGCTGCGTCGAGTTCTTGTCCTGCACTATCCCGCTCACGATAGTCGCCGAGCCGTTCCTGACGCTCTCGATCTGCTCCTCGGTACAAGTTGCCGTATCGTATATATAGCAGTAATGCAACAAGTCAGCCGGGTCCTCGTTCTTATGCGCCCACGTGTCCGCCTTCCCATTCGTCGCGTACTCAGGGTCCGCCGCCGTGTCGACAGTCCCGGTCGCGATATCCAGGTTGAACAGCGCGCGCGTGAACATCTGGTATGCCGTCTCGGGCTGGTACGACGGGATCTCGTGGCCTGCCTCGTACACGCGCGAGAAGGACAGGTTGCCGTACTGCCGCACCTGGCCGCCGACGTACGAGTCGTTGACGACGATGTCGGTGTACCCGGCCGCGTTGAACCGCTCCGTGCCCGTGTAGTTGATGGCCAGGCTGACCGCCTCGCCGCCCATCCAGTTGCACGCGAAGTCGCGGTCGCCGTACATCAGGTGCACCTTGACGCCGCTCTCGAGCAGGTAGGCCAGGTCCTCGATCCACCCGGGGCGCGGGTAGTCGCCAATGGATCGGAAAGCCGACGCCACGGTCGACGACGACGATGAAAAGTTCAGGAGTACGCCGAGCGCGGCCTGCACGTGCGGCTGGTTGAGGTAGCCGTTGTAGAACGAGGGTGGGAACGGGCTCGGGTCTACCGAGGCCATGTCGTAGTAGTTGCGTCCGGAATAGTCGAGGTACGGGTCGCGCACCTCGGTCGTGCAGAAGGTCTCGGCCGCGGAGCAGATGGCGTTGACCGTCTCGTTGACGCCAATGTTGTCCGGGTCCGAGAGGCTGGCTACCGCGCGACAGTCGTTGATCTGGTCACGGCAGCCGCCTTCTCGGTCGAGGGCGTCCATCATGGCCAGGTAGATCGTCTCGTTGACAGTCTGGATCCCATAGGTGTTGTTGTACGCAATTTGCGGGTACGATGGCCATTGTATCTGGCGGTCGATGCACGAGTTGATGAGGATGAGCGTGTCGAGGTTGATGATGTAGTTCTCGCCGTCTGCGTCGCTCCACGTCCCGTTCTCGATCTTCTGGTTCTGCTCCTCGAAGAACGCGGAGAACTCGGGGCCATAACGGCCGCCGTATGACTCCGTGGCGATGCTGACGCGGGAGTCGTTGGGGTGGTACGCTGGGAACTCCTGGAACCACGTCTGGGCGAAATGCCATAGCGCAATGGCTGCGTTTCGGCTGCCCAGCGCAGTCTGGTTCGGGTTCTGACTCGGATACGTACCCACCAGTAGAGTAGTGTTCTGCTCTGGTATTGGGTCGGTCTTGTTCAGCTTGATGACTTCGCCGGTGACGAGGTCGTTGGTGACGTTCTGCAAGGTGTCGTATGACAACCCGACCTGAACCGGCTGGTCGAGATACAGCATGTTGACTACGCACGCAGTCAGCGACGTTGGAAAGGGGAATGCATCTTGGTCGACTCATTCGCTCCGGAACTCACCCTCATTGTTCCACGCCCATTCACTCAACGTTGTGGAATTGGAGTCGGAGTTGACATAGCAGGGTCCGTTCTCAGCGAACAGACCGAGCAAAGAGCTGCTTCCCGGTCCGCCGTTCATCCATATCGACAGCGGCGAGTTGACGGGGTCTTTTCGCGACTCGAAGAACCAAAAGAAGGTGTTGATGGGGTAGTCTTGCTCCTCTCCTAGGTCTACCAGGGATCCGGGCGGGAGATAGATATATCCCGCGTAAGACTTGACGCCCTCTGTAGTTTCGCAGATGCCTGGCTATGAGAACGTTAACACTGGGGTATCTCGATGGAGACAATTGCACATGATCACCTCTTTATAGCTGATCGTCACGCCATCGCCGAACTTCGACTGAAGTACCGTCACGTTCTCAGGCGTTGATGGGAATTGGGCAAGAGCAACTGGAGCAAGCATAGGGGGGCCAGCGGCCACAAGAAGCCCAATAGGAAGCATCGTGAGCATGGAAGGGCAAGGTCGACCTGCTGTACGTAGACTCTCCACAGTCTGGAGGTGGGAGCTCATGCTCTTATATGTCATCGTCTATACAACCTATCTGCACCCCCCCGCAGTTGGCCGTAACTACCCGGAAGCTTGCGCCGCATAGCTGCAGGCCGGAGCAGTTCGGTATGACGCCCCTGCCCGTGAGGTTATACCGTTGAGGAAGGTAAGCGAGATATCGTGGTAATGGAACTTCTTGGCACAGTAACGTGGCTTGGGCTACCCTGACCCCGCGTCCGAAGGTGGTGGACTTGTGCCACTGACGGGCTGCAGCGTCTGCTTACATTTCAGGTTCCTATCACCTTAAATACGGCTCACCAGCTTTTGCAAGCCTCTCTTCTCCTCCCGGATGGAAGTCACGATGGCCGCCGCAGAACACAATGCCTTACACACGGCGGCAGGATACTCAGTCCGGGCCAAGATTGCACAGCCTCTGTGGTGTTTACGAACTCCGCAATGCACGTATATGCCCTGCTCACCCTCCATGTGGCAGCCACCCTCATCCCAAGCGATGCCAGCGTCTTCCGAGTCGTCTTCGTTGGGCATGAAGCCGATCTTGAGATCCTGTCCGGGTGACCGCGGCGGGTCGAGTCCCACGCATCACAACGGAAGATTTGGGGGAGACTGGCCTCGCTTTCGTTGGTTTCCTCGGACGACGCCAGGATCCCTAGAAGTCCATACATGTGGTTGACGAATCCGCGTCCGCGTGAGGCAGTCGAAATGGACCTAGAGTGCGCTGTGAGGGCCTCGGTGAAAAGCAAACAGATGTGCGCCATGTCGCTATCTTGGTCCACCGCTGCTGCTGCTTCGATGAACGGACGCACAGGCGGGGATACGGTCTGGACTCAGTCAATGCGTCCGCGGGCATAGGTCGATAGAGAAATAATCTCCCATGCCGGACGCACCCTTCGGTCAACGTGGTAGACCGCGAGAAGGACAGTAAGGTGGGCCGTGGGCATTAGGTTAAACCGCACAACTCCGGAGAAAGCCCAGATTGAGGCTCCCGATAGTGACGTACTGGTGGTCAATGAGTCCATAAGACGCACAGCGGACCTTGGCGTACTCTTTGTGTTGGATCATGGCTGGGCTGGGTTTCCAACAGTGTTGGCGAACAGGGTAGACAGCGGAGGACGGTGAGTCTTTGGCCTTGCCAGAGGATTGCGCAAACAACGCACGCGTAGTATTTCATGCAGTCGACGCACATCATACCATCTAGCTTCGCATGCTTGCAAACTCCCGCTGATAAGCCGTTGGCGGTCACGACGAATTGGATAGGCTTGTCCAGCCAGCGGTTGGCAAAAGGGTGGTGCGGACCATTGATACGGAATTGCATATGTCGCTCCCCAGAGCTTGTCGGCGACTCGTCATCGAGACGCACGACAAAGGCGGCATGCTCAAGAACCCCTGGGACTGCGTCGTTGTGGGGATCGAGCTTGAGCTCATGGTGAGTCTGGGGCGTAGGGAGTCAGCAGGTCGAAGGAATTTGAGGGACGAAGGGAACACTGTTAGACGTACCTCAGCCCACGACTTGCGCTCGTCGGCAGTCAGGGTACAGACGGGGAACAAGGGTTCAATTGAGGCCTCGGGGATGTCGGTATATGCTGTAAGAATGGCTGGAAGAGATAGGGGTGTGCCCGGGCCTGGCAGAACGAGCTGGAATACGTGACCGCGCCGCAAAATGGCAACGGTATGGTTCACATCGAACAGCCACATCTGGTCCACATCTACGGATGGCCGAAGAGTAGCATAGAACAACCATTTCCGAGCCTCGGCATTCAAAGGTGCACCGTGGAGTGTGTCCACAGCCATTTCGCCAGCGACCAGACTGCGCAAAATCGATGGCTGTCTTTGTCAGCACGGCAGCACGCATCCTTTGCGACTGTGCCGGCGCGTTGACTGGGTGGCCAACCGAGTAAAGACTGTAATCATGCAGCGGATCGCGGTGCTCGGGGTACACTGCCGGTCATAGGCTTCGGCAATCACATCAGGTTCGGTCTCCTCCAACCGCCGCTGTAGGAATGGACCCGGTCCCCCGAGGAAGGATCGAACAGCATATTTGCCTCTAACCGAGGGGGATGTGGGAGAAGATCAAGCGCCCCTTCACTCTTTAAGGCGTTGAGGGGTCAGATTCACCGAGAATGTTGTAATCTCCTGTTAGAATCGACGAGTTTCATTGGATGAGTTGGTGGTGGCGGAGGATGATAAGATGAACTGAGCTTGGGCAGCCAATGCAAGTGCTTTATTGTTAGATTTCAAAGTGTTCTATTAAGGAGAGGAATTCCAGCTACTCTGGAGCGGCCAGAATGGCCCTATATATATCCAAGATACTAAAGGAAAGGATACGTGGCCTTATATTGGCCATGTATGTGACAGAGTCACAAATGGGGATGGTGATCCTGAAGGATGACTATGGATGGGCTAACGTAGCCCAGAATCCAACATTTATCCCATGTCCATCATGAGACGTAGGATCACAGCGCATGTGTACACCTTCCCAGGACAGACTCCTTGCAATGTTGCAGCATTTGGCCCGCCCGGGTTTCCGTCTCTGTCGGAGGCTCTCTTCCTTTGCAAATGCGCGGGACTTAATATCGAGCAAAGTTTTGGAGCAAGATAGCCTGAGTACAGCGAGCAAGGTTCCAAAAAGCCTAACAAGCGACACAGAACCAACAGCGACGACATCACGCCGAAGATCGTGACTTTGCCTCAGCAGGCCATGTCGCCCAGTATTAAGGACTATTGTGGTAGCGCTGGCGAAAAGGCTGGAAACGAGACGGCAGATCAAGATGAGGGCCAGGAGGAGGCCATGGAAGGGCTGCCGCTTCTAATGTTCACCTTGGGCATCATGACTGTGGTATTTCTGATATGCCTAGACCATTATATCTTTGGTCGGTTCATACTCCCTGGAAGTTCGTCGAGTCCACGGCAAGCGACGCCCCGTAAACATCTCAATTGTTTGCAGCCTCGACGGCGTCGCCTCTTTCGTCGGGCCGCTGTTGGGTGGTGTGCTCACCGACTCACGTCTGACCTGGCGCTTCTGTTTCTGGATCAATCTTCCTGTCGGCCTCGCGGCATTTGCTGTGCTCTTCTGGTTTCTTCGCGATCCCCCACAAGCGGCCCAAGCCACAAAGGAACCAGTATTGAGGAGACTGACGCGAGTCGACTGGCTCAGCATGGTGCTTCTGCTGGCGGGCTTCTCCATCCTACTGCTGGGTTTACAATGGGGTGGGCTCGTGTACCGCTGGTCAGACCCGCGAGTTTTCGGATGCATATTGGGTGGCAGCCTCGCGTTGGTGTTCTACTTTGTCTATCAGTACCACCAAGGCGACAAGTAGGTCACCACAGTCGCCAAGTTAACCTTGGAGGATGTTATCTAACTGCGTCATTCAAGTGCCGCTATCCCGTACCGCATCCTCCGCCAGAGGACCGTCTTCTTCCGTGCTGGTTTCATGCTCCTCATGGCCATGCTGATCGGTACGCTGGTGTACTATCTGCCATTTGAGTTCCAGGTGAGGCTCCCTTATCTGCACTTGTCTTATTTCTAACCAACGCTCCCCTTTCATGCAGGCTGTCCGCGGTAACGATGCGAGAACTTCCGGAATCATGAACTTGGCCTTCCTGACTCCCCTCATGCTCTCTCCACTGTTGAGCGGTACCTTGATCAGTCTGACAGGCTGGTACGTGCCGTTCATGTGCCTCGGCGGCGTATTGTCGACGGTTGGTGCTGGACTGCTTACGACACTCGGCGCCACGACATCGAATGCACGTCTTATTGGATATCAATTCCTGACAGGCTTCGGCAGCGGCATATGCCATCAGATCCCATACACCTCCATTCTGCATGTGCTTCCGGTCAGCGACATGGTCATAGGGAGCAGCTTGTGCAGCTATCTCAACAGCCTTTGGGCCATCCTAGGCATCGTACTAGCCCAAGTCATCCTCGCCTCCGCTCTCATCCGGAGCCTGGATGGTGTAGCGGGAGCAGAACCACACGCTATCATCCAGGCTGGCCCAACCAATATCGGCGATGCTGTGATACCTGCGCTTGTCAATACAGTGCGCAGCGCGTACAGTGGTGCTTTGCAGACTACTTATATCCTGCCCGTTGTTGCAGCTGGCCTGTGTTGCGTCTATGCCCTCGGCATGGAGTGGAAGCGCTTGAAGAATTAAGGCTGGGACGGGAAGTTAATTTGGAGTTTTTCTTCAGAGACGCCGTTATCTCATAGGGCATAGTTATACCTTAATAAACTTCGAAAATCCCGAAGGCCCGGATAAATTAAGCTTCGTAAGAAACAACGGGAGTTAAGCTAACTACCTAATAGATGCAGTTTTCGTCTATAGGCTCATGTTAGCTTGCTATAGCCTATTCTTACTAATCATATACTCGGACTAGACACTAGCCGTGGGGAAATGAGCATTCGGTGTTATGTCTAGGTCGCGCTAATGACTTGAAAGCATTCTTGTATTCTTGCAGAACCTGCGCGAGACCTTTCCCCTGCCCTATTTGTTTGTTTGTTTGTTTTGTATTTAACGTGGGGGTAGCTCCTCAGTAGTGCAAACCACGCCTCCCAGAGCCTCTGCATCGCAGGGTTGTGGAGGTCTCAAGATAATAAGTACAGTCAGTCCCGCTCACGGGCCCATCCCTGTTGTTGCGGCGGTATGACCTTGGGGTCATCCATCTGGTCCTTTAAGGAAGGCTATCTATCGGGGGCAGATTGTTAAAAAGAACTTGCTCTTCTCCACGAATTTTGCCCATTCTGTGCTCCTCTCCCCTAAGTATTGTAAACAAGCTGTCCTAGACGAATGCCTAGGCAGTAGCCGATTTTTCCCCAGCCTCTTACAAAAGAAAATGTATTGTGGTGTTTTCTTCTCACCATAGCTGCAGTGATCATTTGAGTCTGTGTGCCCAAAGCGTTCATGGTATCTGGCAAAGTCGCCATGTCCAGATCTGGCCGCTAGAAGTCTGTGTAAAGTACTCCTCTTAAAAGATATAAGGTCTCTTTCAGTTACTGCATGTGAGTATACTTCTTGATACTTAGATTCTGATTGGTCTTTTCACCATTGGTTGAACTCTTTCTTGCCCTGTCTTTTGAGATCTCTCTTGACCCAAGAGATTGTAGGAAGATTTGTTGTGTCTGTTTCCAGCATGGCACCCTCTTTTGCTAGTGTGTCGGCAGCTTCGTTGCCATCAATATCTCTGTGTCCAGGAATCCATTTGACGGTCACTCCAGGAGTGTGTGCTGTGGCAAGTTCTTGAAATCGTAGAAAAATATTTTGTGATGTCTCGGGTGGAGTCCCATTGAGCCCATCTACCACTGACGTGTTGTCCAGGCAGACATATAGCTGTTTTCCGTGTCCAATTGCCCTGGCTGCTGCAAGACCTTGGAGAGCACCATGGACTTCAGCATCTACTACTTCTGCTTGTAGAAGTCTGCCCCTTCCCCGGTATACTTCTTGTGTAGTGCCGCCTTTCCTGATGGTATAACCCCATCCAGTGCGGATTGTGCCTTGGTCATCCAACTGTGATCCATCTGAGTAGATGACAAGGTCAGTGTTCACGTTTCTCTCATGTAACCATTGTTTGAAGAGCTCTATTTTTTTGTTTTTGTCTTTACGGATTGGGGGCTTCTTTTATGATGGCCTGGTAAGTATTGGTCTCTAGAAGTCAGGGACTAGCTGGAAACTCCTTTGTAGCCTTATTGGATTCTTGCGAGCTTGTATTTAGAGCCTGCCAACAAGAGGGTGTCTCTGGTCTATTCGTCCTAGTCAGAGGCCGTGACGTTGTCTTATTGACTCTGCAAGAACTCCTGCTGGGGGAATCTGCGATTCAAAGTGTAGGATATGTCCAGGGTGTGTTTTCCAGACCGGCAGGATAGCTCTGATTGCCGTTCGTAGTACAGCATCTATTGTTCCAAGAAGCCCCTTAATGCGACATGCTGATGTCTCACCTAAGCTCCCAGCTTTCTCGATTCCTGGGTACCAGGCCTCCAGGCCATGTGTGAGAATAGGAATAACACAGGCTTTCACAGCCCTCTTGGTTGACTTTACTGGAAGTCCTTTGACTGTGTTGCATAGTCCTCGAAGGTGATTTGTTACCCTACTAGCTTTCTTGGCCCAGTGAGAAACATGGTCTTTGAAGTTTAGTTTCTTATCCAGAAGGACACCTAGCCATCGCATGGAATGCTTAGCTGTTTTGTTCATTGTTCTGTGGCAAACTGGGGGATTGTCTGAGTTCTTTTTCCGTGAGAAGTGCATGATCTCGGTTTTGTCGGGATCAAATTCAATAGCATTGTTATGTCCTCATTGGTTGAGTAAATAAAGATTTTCAGAAGCCTCTGTAGCTATTTCTTTAAGGTTCTTTCTAATGCAGAGTGTTGCTAGGTCATCTGCATATCTAAAGCGTCTTCTTTTCATGCCAAGTCGGGCACAGATTGGCTCTGTATACAGCATGTAGAGGATTGGAGAGACTGGTGAGCCTTGTGGGAGCCCATAAGTGAGAGCTTTTATGTCGGTCACAGTACCTTCAAACCGAACTCTTGCGGACCGCTCGGACATGAACGACTGGACCCATCTTATGAGAAAGCCTGGCCAGCCCTGTTCTCTCATGCGAACCACCAGCCGTCCCATTAGGACAGCATCAAAGGCCCCTTTCACATCTGATGTGACTACCGTTGCAACGAGGCCTTGGTCAAGGGCCTGCTCAATATCGTGTATGAGTGCAGCTACCAGGTCAGTGGCAGAGCGCTTTGGTAGAGCTCCAAAATGTTGTGGGGCTAGAATTCCAAGTTTGACAACAAACCAGGTAATTCTTTTCGCAATGAGTCGTTCTAGGCCCTTGCCAAGACATGACAGTAGCGATATTGGTCTGTAGGCCCTGGGATTGGAGTAGTCTTTCTTTCCTGATTTTGGGATCATCACTACCTCAGCTACTTTGAATGGTTTAGGGTGGTGTCCAATCAGTAGGCAGGTCTGGAAAAGGGCTCTGATATGTTCACCAATGACTGGCCAGCAAGCTTTCAGAATCCGTACTGTGAAGGTATCTATTCCCGGGGAGTTGCTCTTGGTTCCTAAAGTGCACCCTTCAGCCTCTTCCAGTCCGACGTGGTATTCAAGGGGGATGTGTGGCTTGGGTTGTATGATCTGAGCGGACCAGGGGTCGATGATATCGTTGTCTGAGGTACTTCGTTCAAGCGTGGCTGAGCGTAATGCATTTGCCTTGCTCTCTTGTGACTCGAATATTTGGTCTCCTATGATGATTGGAGAGGAACGCAATCCTGCTGATAACTTGTGCCAAGAGACGATTCTGTATAGGTCCTTTGGCTCAGTTGCTGAATTGATTAGAGTCTGCCAGTACTCTCTCCTAGCTTTCCGAACCATGCCGCGAAATTCCTGTCGGGCTGAATTCCGTCCTTCTTGGCTTGTAGTCTGTTTGGAAAGGGCCCTGTATGTCTGAACAGCTGCTTTGCAGTCATCATTCCACCAAGCAGTGGGCCTAGATTGACGGGGCTTCTTGCCCACTGTCCTGATACAGCCTTGGATTATGTTAATCAGGCTTTGTGTAAAGGTGTCCACCTGGCCAGGGGATACACCTAGCCGGGGGAGTTCATGAATCCTGGTTTGGACATTATCTGCCAGCTCCTGTAGTTTATCGTCCGGTACTATCCAATGATTGGCCTTGGGTACTCGGTCCAGATCTCCCTGGATTGGAATGACTATTCGTAATGTCTCATGATCTGAGGTGCACTGAAGTGCATCATTGACTGAGGCTTCAGCCATAGGGACATCTAAGAACACCAGATCTAGTACATTTCTGTCATCATGTGTTGGGACATCTGGTTCAGAAATCAGATCCAGTCCGTGGTCTGCCATAGTCTGTACAAGTATGACACCACCCTGATATCCTGGATTGCTTGAGTCCCAGGATGTGTCGCCAGCATTGAAATCTCCAGCTATAACGCAGCCAAAAGGTGGAGTCCATACTTCCAGAATATTATCCACTTCCTGTGGGTTGTCACATGGCCGATAGACACTGGCAAATGTAATGCCTTGTACCTTGACCCAGGTGATGTCTCGTGTAGCATAGGGCCGAAGTTGATCCGCTTAAAGGTATTTTCTCACATAGATGAGAGATCTGGGCCGTGTACTGTCGCTGTCCCAGGAATCCACTGGGGAGAATATATCGTAATTGGGGTGTGTCTTTACTCCCATTCTCCTGCCTGGTGGTATGCCAACCCAGGGCTCTTGCATCAGAATGATGTCTGCTTGTTCTCCTTTATAGTCAGCCAGGTTGATGGCTAACTCTGTAGGGCCTGCACTCTTTTGTTCCCCTGCTGTATTCACAGAATGGATGACTAGATGCCTGTGTCGATATGTTTCGTTTGATGTACCTAACATTGACTGACAACAATGGTATCGGCATCTCTGGGATGAGTTGTATCTGTTGTGTCGATTTGCATTGTGGTGTCTTTGCTATTGTTGCTAGGTGTTGACCTAGCTTGGTTTCTGCCTGTTTCGTTGAAGGCCTTGGATCTGGCTCTTTCTCCGGCTAGCCTTATTTCCTGGATTTGCTCCCATGTGTGCTTATGGATGGTACCTTTCACAACCTTGGGGCGGGCAGGGCATTTGTCGAAGTTGGCAGCATGAGGTCCTTTGCAGTTGACACACTTTGGGATTGGTTTTTCGCACTCTCCCTGGTGTACTGTGTTGGCGCAGTGTGCACATACTTGCTTTTCGCATCGGTAATTCCTACCATGGTATCTGAAGCAGCTTGCACACTGGTGAACCTTGGGGGTGTGTTGAATATGCCTTGAGGTCATTGAGTGGGCAAAAAGCGTGAATGGTTTCCTTGCTGCACTGGGCAGAGAGATTATCCATGTAGTTTCTGGATCAGAATCAATCGTGTTCTTTGAGAGTATGCACCTCAGAGGTCTGTCGCCTGTTTGGGCTTCAACTTCATTGGCAACAATAATGTCGGTAATATCGATTGTGAACCCTTCTGCACTGATGACCTTTCTTGGGCATCCATTGACCTTGTAATGATGCCAGACTGTGTGGGTCTCAATCTTTTGTGCCTTAAGAATGTCGGCAATTTCTTCTTGGAAAGCCAGAAGCTTAGCCTGAGTTGGCTTGTCCCTTGGGTGTAAGGTAAAACCAGAAGGACACCGTGTCACTTCTCTAAGCTCCTGAGGGTGGAGCTTAAGTCTTCTGTTCAGTGTAGACTTGATTCCATAAGGCTCTAAGTGGCTATTATCCATGCGGACAAAGACCCGGAGATCATCCTGCTTCTTCTTCAGTTGGTTGGCAGTGATAAGGGCGCCAGGCTGTGTTTTCTTCATGGTAGTGTTGACTGTCCATGGATGCTGTCGTTGGCCAGAGGAGACAGCTTGGGCGAAGGTCATGGTGGGCTTCCCTATCCCTATCCCGCCAGGAGTGGTCTTTCTTTTGGGCAGATCTTGGGTTTCCAGCCACTCGTTCAGGCATTTGGAGAAGAAAGCGCTGAACTCCTTGGCATAAGAGTATAGTTCGGTTCCAGCTTTTTCCAGTGTCTTATCGACTGCTGCAGCACACTCTTGAAACATTGTTATCCTGGCTTTATAGAGATGCTTGTCTTTAGCCAGTATTTTGGCTACTTGGTCCTGGCACTTTGAGGAAGAGACCTTGTTCCCTGTATCGCCTCCAATGGCTTGGTCTGTAGAGGTTTCGTTTGATTGAGGTACTTCCATATCAATGATGCTGCTAGTATTAATATTTCGGGATTTTCCTTTCAGAGGGGAAACAATGGTGAAGTCAGCCTCAGAGACCTGTGACGGGCTGCTGTTGATGTTGTCGAGCAGTGCCTGGCGGAGCTTGCTTGGGGTTGCCGGGCCATATGTTCTTTTAGGGACCGGGGATTTGAGCACGCCGCCAGTAGTCGTCTTTGGGACGGCCACTGGCGTATTTGGGGGCCTATTGTGAAGGGGTGCCATCCAGCTTGTGAGAAAAATTTTCTGCGCCTTGGCAAGGATAGTCAGGTACTGAAATAAATGCCTGTTTTAGTGCAGATATAGAGGTTGCGCCCTAACAGCGGGGCGCCAAGAAAAATAGTTGTTTTTGGTAAGAGTGTGTGCCCTATTTGGATAAGAAGGACAATCTCGTAACCCGCAGTTGTGTTCTGATAATCATACTTGAAAGCTGCTATAAACTAGCAGTAAATCACCAATCTGATCACCGTCAAGGTACCATTTACCTCGTCTCTTATCACACAGCTTGCGGACCCATCTATACCTATCAGAATACGTGCTCAGTGGCGTACTAGCCCGAGCAGTATATTGGTCATCCCGTGAATCACCTTATTAGAAAGCCGTTAGAGGCCACTTACACGATTACACAAGTAAGAAGAGAAACCCCTTCGGCAATCCTTCTTGTTTTCCGTCAATACAAACCACTCTGAAATCTCACCATACATCCCAAAGGCCCCCGGAGACATGGCTGACGGCAGCGCTATGATGACAGTAGGGTTGGGATGGGGGACTATGAGAGTTATCTCCGAGGTACTGTACAGCACGTACGACGGATCGTTCACCTATACCCCTGACTTGGATTTTGCGTCGAAGAGTATACGCAGTTCTATGCGAGATAGGCGAGTTCTGCATTCCCTACGGCGGCTCATGGGAAAACACAACACGAAACCAGCTGGAGGTAATTCTGATCCTTGTTCAATTGTTGTACATCGCGCTAGACATGGGCTTTTACCGCGGCTGCTTTTCGGAGGTACTTCTACAGATAACAGCACATTGGGCCACCGGTGGTTGAGAGTGAATTGCATGTATTGGGCGGGCGTGAGCCACTCCAAGAGGGCTGGCCGCCCCGTCCGTGGTCCCGTAGCCAGGCCTCCTTGGAAGCATCACGCCCATATGATAGACTTAGCGTACAGCAAGGTGGCTCTGCTTTTTATTATCTTTTGGGGTATTTAGGTTTGGCTCCTCCCTTCCGGTCGAAGAGCTTAAAAATGAAATAAATCGTAATGTTCTTCTTTTCTTTGGGAGGTATGTGGCATTTGCCAGCACTTTATGCTGAAGGATGGGAAACCCAGTAGGGAAAACCACCTCATCACAGCTCCCCTCTCGTGAAACCACGACCGTTGCGTACCTCCCGCGGCCCCGTCGTGAGATGAGGAAAGAAAGTTCCTCCAGTCCCACGGCCTGACAGAAATCCGATTATATGGAACCACTGTTGGGCCGTGCGCGTGCACTAGACCTGGTGCTGGCCTGTAGAACAAATCATTTGACTACAGGTAGCTGATCTGATAACGCTAACAGGGGTAAATGTTTATGTAGGGTCCCGTAACTTCAAGGAATCGCGACTTGAAAATACTATATAAAAGCATGAGGCACACACCACAGTAAAACATGAAGCTTCCTGTCTCTCACTTATCGAGTGTTCCCAAGGTTACACGCGATCAGTGGTAATGGGAGTCTTCCCGGATCCAGTACCCCTGCTGCTATGCCGCAACCGCCCTTGCGTTGCGCATTATTAAAGAACCAACACGGACTCCTCCCGACACAGCCTCCCCCGACCCACACTCCTCCCGACACACATTCCTCCAGGCACAACACACTCTCCTCTTACCAACCACCTCCTCCTATCCTCTAATGCTGAGAAGCTCGTTCCCTGGAGATGGCTACTGATCACGCGCAGACTGCGCGTTGGCAAGACGACTTGCTGCCACACATTATCGACCGGCTGGCCAGGGAGCGACCCGACGGGATTTACGGACTCTGGCCCGTTGCACCCGACTCTTACGCAGCCGGCTTCCGCACCGTCACTTATGCCCAGCTAGCCAATGCCGTTAACGGCCTGGCCTGGTGGCTCGTTCAACATCTCGGGCCCAGCCAGCAGAGCAGGGTACTGGCCTATGTGGGCCCCAACGACGTGCGACTCGTTGCATTGGGGCTGGCCGCAATCAAGGCCGGCTATACGGTAGGGGCCGTTGTCCCGCGGCATGGAAGCCTGACTGTGCGTCAGCTTAAAGGACGGCTCGCTGACGGGGCCGACAGCTCTTCCTCACGTCCCCGCGCAATAGCCCAGCTGCACACCGAGCGCTGTTTGAGTCACTCGAGTGTCGGACTCTAGTGACGACCGATCCAACTCCGCCATCGGCGCTCCCGATACTCGAAGCTGTCAACCCAACGCAGCTGACAGCCCCAAGCGTCGACGATGTACTTGGCATATCGTATCCGCCGTACGTCTACGAAAAGACGTTCCAGGAGGCGCGCTGGGATCCACTCTTCATCATGTACGTATTGCCTTCGAGTATGCGAAGCACACGATTAAACTCCTGCAGACACACATCCGGATCAACAGGTTTGCCGAAGCCCCTAATCTGGACACAAGAGACAGGAGCACGTCAACACAACCTCAGTGCCCGCGAGCCCCCCGACGGAGGACCCTCTATTGACAGTTTCTGCCATGGGGAGAGGGTCTTAGTGACTCTCCCACCGTTTCATGTACGCAGAACCGAGCCGATTCGACGTGCCATTCAAGCTGACCATCGCAGGGAGCCGGCCTGGCCCAATACCTTATGAATGCCGTTCCCTTCGGTAACATCGCAATTGCGCCAGCAGCTGTGGGTATTGCCACTGCCGAGGGACTTGTCGATGCTCTGAAGCAAACGCCAGCCAGCATAGCAGTGCTGGTACCGTCTGTGGTGGCAGAATTGGCCCAGAACCCCGACCTGCTCGACTACTGCGCGGCACATCTCAAGATGATTCTCTATATCGGAGGTGACTTGCCACAAGCTATTGGAGATCGTGTTGCCGCCAAGGTCCGGCTGCGTTGCCAATGGGGGGCTTCAGAGGTGGGCATCCCACAGCAGCTGATGCCCCCTGAGCTGGGGCCGATGGATTGGCGTTACATCCGCTTCCATCCATCCGTTGGGGCTTTCTTTGATGAGGTTACCGATGGCGCCTATGAGCTCGTGATACGGCGCGACGAGGCTCGCACGGATACGCAACCCGCATTCAGCGTTCGCGGTCAAGACCAGCTCAAGGAATACCGTACACGCGACCTTTTTGAGCGCCATCCCACGGTTCCTGACGCATGGTGTTGGCGTGCCCGCGCAGACGACATAATCGTCTTCCTCAATGGCGAGAAGACCAACCCTGTCTCGATGGAGCAGCATGTTGTGGCCAGTAACCCCGAGCTGAGCGGCGCCATTGTCATTGGGGCTCAGCGGTTCCAGGCTGCTTTGCTGATCGAGCCGACATCGGAAAAGGGTATACAAGACACGGCTGAGCCAGCCGCCCTAGTAGAGCGGGTGTGGAAAAGTGTCCAAGAAGCTAATCAGGCAGCTCCGGCACACGCGCGCGTCGAAAAGGCGCTGATCTTAGTTACTTATCCCGATCGCCCCCTGATTCGTGCTGGTAAGGGAACAATTCAGAGGTCCGCCAGTCTTGCCCAGTATACTGCCGAGATTGACAGGTTATACGCAAATGCGGACTTGGCTTTGGAAGATGATGTTGCCGCCAGCCTGGTTGACCCGACCGACGTAGAAGAAACCGCGGTTTTCATCCGAGATACTGTGCAATCCATTACGGGCTGGCAGGGACTAGATGAGTCGGTTGACTTCTTCGCACACGGCATGGACTCGTTGCAGGCGCTCCAGCTCACGCGTGTCCTACGACGTGGCCTTCGCCGTAATGACCTCGCCTTGTCTACGGTGTACAAGAATTCCACTGTTGCGCAGCTAAACGCGGCGATCCTCGCCCGACATGAAGGGGCTGATGATGCCGACATACTGGCGTCCCTATTGTCGACGTACCGCGGTCTCATACACCAGATGGAAAAACCACCGCAGCTCGATCGGGCCAAAGCAGGCGTCGTCGATGTCGTCCTGACTGGCTCTACTGGAACACTGGGCACGTACATGCTGCGCTCGCTGCTCGGTCGGGCGGGTATTGGACACGTCTACTGCCTGAACCGTGCCGAGGACGGCGGCCGCAGTGCCCAAGCTGGTCGCTTCGCCGCCGCCAACCTACCCTCAGACGGGCTCGCCGACCGCGTCACCTTTCTGCACGCAGACCTGGCACACCCCACACTGGGCCTGGACAAGACGACGTACGAAACCCTGCGCGCCCAAGTCGGAATCGTCATCCACAACGCCTGGCCCGTGAACTTCAACCTCGGACTGTCGGCCTTCCGGCCGCAGCTGGTCGGGCTGGTGAACCTGTTCGCCCTCTCTGCCGCCGCCGCCCCACGCGCCATGCGCATCGTCTTCATCTCGTCCGTAGGCGCCGTGGGGGGCCGACCCGCCGCCGCCGGGCCCGCGCCCGACGCCGTGCTCGAGTCGCTCGACACGCCCAGCCCCAATGGCTACGCGCGGAGCAAGTTCCTCAGCGAGCTATTCTGCGACACCGCGGCGCGGCACCTCGGGATCGCCGTCGCCATTGCGCGCGTAGGGCAGGTTGCCGGGCCGGTCCGGCAGTCCGGCATGTGGAACCGGGCCGAGTGGCTGCCGAGTCTGGTGGTTAGCTCCATACACCTCGGGTGTCTGCCAGACAGCCTCGGTCCCCAGTTCTCCGAGGTCGACTGGATCCCCTCGGACCTGCTGGCCGATGTCGTGGTCGACCTCGCCAGCCTCTGGGGCATCAGCCCCGGTGCTCATGTCTTCAACTTGCGCAACCCGCACACGACGGCGTGGAATGCTCTGCTTCCCACCATCCAAAGCACGGTACAGGCTGGGCTTGGTCAGTTGCTAGAAGTGGTGCCTTCGGATGTCTGGCTGTCGCGACTGCAAGAAAGCATCGCGGCCACGAACAGAGGTGGTGAAGATGCCCTGGCCGCGGCTGCTGTTGTCAACCCGGCCATCAAGCTGTTGGACTTTTACCGCTACGGCCTTTGGGCGCGAGAGGTCGCCTCTCAGCAAATGACGGTCGAGCATGCCCTGGTTAGCCAGACGTTGCGCGATATGCCGCCCGTGAGCGATGCGTGGATGCGGCAGTGGGTTGAAGAGTGGATAGGGGCTCGGGGTTTGAAGAGCGGATAGGGGCTCGGGATTGGTCTTATGCGCTAGTTATATGAACGATTTAGAATAGCCTGGCAGCGGGTGGAAGAATGGACTGGGTTGGTTTCATGCGCCTGTTGGATGGACGACTTTGGATGGCCTGGAAGTTGATGGCGATTTATTTGATTATTAAGCTACTCGGCCAACAAAAACACAGCCCTCACGCTATCCGCCAATTCCAACAGAATAAAACGCCACAGGTCATCTGATAAAAAACAGAAAAGGAGAAAAAAACATTAGCCATGGTGTCCACAGGCTCAGGCCGATGCGTCACACGCCTAGCGGCACGCCCGCAAAGCCTTGCCCATAAATTCTCTGGTGGGATTGATAACTACCTCAATGCATAAGCAGCGAATTGACACTTACTTTCGAGAAGCGAGACTAATGTCGAACTTGTGGACAAAGTTCTCCGGCGGGGACCTCAGTTTTTGGTAGTACGGTCAAATGCGCGCAAAGTGCATGTCAGTCAAACGTATGTGGCGAGCTGGCGATCAACTTAGACGCGTCCGTACACTGCGGTATCAACTGGGACTCGAAGGTAACTGGAGCAATGCGGCGAGCATGCCTGCTCCCCCTATTCACAAGCCCAGGCGGATTTGGAACCAATACACTTTTCACCCATTTCACCCAGATGTTCGCAACTGCCTACCGGCACTGATCACATATCCAATGCCTCTATCGGCTCACCATGACGTACTCTTTGATGAGCGACTATAACAGCATGAAAGCCATGGAGTCCCAATACAGTGGTTAATCAGAGTGGCATTGAGACATGCTAAGCTAAACAAATAGACCCTTTTCGTCTCCGATACCTATAACGCCAACAACAATCCAACAAAAGAAATCCTCCACCCGTAATCATATTGCCTGGCCAAGTTAGACATATAAAACATCATCGCCTCCGAGAATTAAAGAATGTGTTGCCGATAAACAAATGAAATCCTTCCCCTGTAAGCATCCAGCCCTTCAAAGCTAGACGTATAACCATTTCCGTCTCCAATACCTGTATACCTAATCAACCCAACAAAGGAAATCCTCCGCCTGTAAGCATACTGCCCTGATGGTCTGTGATTCCCACCATCCGCCCTCTCTATCCGACCTCATCCTCTTCGTATTTAGGTCGTGTGCTGTTTCAGCAAGAAGGTGAACGCCTCTAGATGGGTAAAGCTTTGGCGCCGCTCAGTTATCGGGAGCCTGATGGAGTGTTTGGAGAAACTGGAGGTGGATTGCCGTCGTCGTTGTTGTCGCCGCCACCGCCCGATGAAACGGGCTGGGATTCACCCTGCTTGAAGAAATTGGTGGGAGGAGCCATGATTCTTTCGGGTTTATTCAGACGTCCGGCTAGTAGCTGAGGTGGACCTTGGTGGTTTGGTTGCCGATGTGGTTCTGTGTGTGGTTGTGTATGTGGTTGTCGTCGTTCTCTGGGTGCCAGGAGAAGGGGATAGAGCCAAACCGTGGGATACGAGAGGCCTATTTATGGTCTCCCAACCAGCAGCGAGAGGTGCCGTGGGCCTGTTGGCCTGGTCGTCTGCCAGTATCAAAGAATGAAATACAAGATGTGGCCAACACCCAACCTTCGAACTCCATGAAGAAGTGACAGCAGTTGTCGGTCGAGGCTCATTGTGGACAAAGAAAAGCAGTCAGTAGGTAACAGATGAGCTGACATGGTGGCATCCTACAGCGCCGGCTGACCGCGGTCAAGTGTGGTTGATTGATTGATTGATTGATTGTATTTATCGTGGGTGCAGTCCCTCCATAGGGCAAACCACGCCTCCCAGAGCCATTGCATCGCAAGGTTGTAGAGGTGTCAGTCTAGATACATTCAGATCTGCGCACGAGCCTATCCTCGCTGTAGCGGTACCAACCTGGAGTGACCAGATGGTTTTAGTCAATACCCAAGCACGATTCCGTCAGAAAAACCTCCTGTCCAGTGACAAAGCGACCCAGTGAACCTCAGTCCTCTGGTGTACATATCGTTCCAGTAGCCGTTCGATATATGTCGTATTATTGGGTGAAATAGGTATTTGTTATCTGCTGGCGAGGGAAACCACAAGGGGAAAAACCTCGCAGGAGTGGGTGTTATGGAGACAAGCTGTTTGGCTATCGGGCTCTGCGATAAGGGGCCTCTCCACTGTCGTGTGCTGGTTGTCGACTCGCACAAGTCGGGTCAGAAGGGGGCCAAACCAGGATTCGAACCCACTTGTTCTCGTCGCCCACCGCACAAACGAGAACACAACCAGGCGCATTTGACCATTGCGCCATACAGCCGTCAAGTGTGGTTGGGAAAAGGAACATACAGCATGGCCGACGTAGGGACTGCCAACACCATACATGTGTGCTCATGACCCTGTATAGTGTGTGTCGCATATAGTATCAGAAAAAGAAAGACACTTATAACTGTAATCTGTAGCCCATAGTTGGGCCGCGAGCATCATGAACGTGACTGCAGTGTTGGTCAACATCCATAGAAGCCTCGATGCAAGACAAAGAAAGATGGCGTATAGCAGTTACTCGATCTCTCAACCGCATAGGGATGTGTATGTAGTACCGAGCGACGTTCATCGAGGCTCCATGTCATACAAAGGCAGGTTCCGCGTGGCCGGGTGAGCAATATCGTGTGTCACCCACACTGGAGCCGCAAGCATCATAAACACATCTGCAATGTTGGTGAATATCCATGAAGTATCAATATATGACAAAGAAAGAAAGCACATGGAAATTCTCGAGCTTCCAACGGGTTTTAGGTATATGGGTGATGATTGCTTGATGTTGGTCAAGTCTCGGAGCCATACAAAGAAAGGGGTCCTGAGCGGCCGGCACCTGTGTGTGTGACCGGGATTGTGTGTCACCCACACTGATGCAAGTCAACAGGGGGAATCCCTCGACTGCTCGTGTCACACACTCAAGCTGCTGCCGCATTCCAATACCATGTTGCCTCCAACGGTTGGCCGGAGCTACAGCGTGAAAGAAGCTCTTGGTTCCCAACATGAAATATTATGTAGACACGACTAGGTAAACGCCTGCTCGGATGAGATTTCAAATAGACCAACAGCCTTGCCACCGTTGGTACGGAGCTCCGGTATCTACTCCAACTTTTTGAAGTGGTCGAGATAACATCGAGTTCTATTCGCCTTGCATGGAAAATCGACATGTGACGAGGTGGGGAGCAAACCCCCATACCCTGCTCCCCTCCTCCCTTGACATGGACCCTATCGCCAACAGTACCGGGAGCAGCACCCACCACCCAACTCACCCACTGCAGTTTCCCAAACGCAACACAGCGTCCTAAGACTTTTGCACCACACATTGTGACATGTTACCCTTTCGGAGGTGCTGCCAATAGCCACGATACATTCCCTCCCGCGCCATTCTACAACGGCGGGGCGCTCATCTCCTCGAAGCTGAGGAAGTCGGGCTTGCCATCGGGCGTCACATTGACGACCTTGCCGTCAGCGACATACTGCTCGACCCAGCCCAGGCTCGCCTCAATGTGGATCTTGCTGGCGTAGGGCCCCTCGGCCTCCTGCAGCTTCTGGAACTCCGGGTCCGAGGCCGCGGCCGCGAGGGCCGCCATGTCGCGGAACCAGAACTCAGCCCACATGTCGTGGTCGCGGATGACCCAGCGATCGCCGAGGCTGGCGTTCAGGGCCTTGGCGGCGCCGCGCATCGACGACGGGGACCAGTGCTGGCGGTGGACAGTCAGTGCCATGGCCGTGGGGAAGGGTAATAACCGATAAAGAGTACAGGTACGTACAACTGCGTAGCCTTCGATGCCGTGTCTTGCATGGACGGCGGCGGCCTGACGGCGTGTTCTGGGTACCCCACTTGTATATGTCCTTCTCACTGCAGGTCTCGGTGCGGTAGTGGTCGATGGTGAGACGCAGGAGTCTATTTTTCTGGAGCTCGGGAGAGGTGATGGGCTCAGTAGACATGTTGGCTGGTGCTTTCTCTTTTCTCACTTGTTGGATGTGATGGTTGTTGTCCTTGCTCTGGTCCTTGTTGGGGTTTCTTGTTGATGTTTTAATATTTGTCCCTTCCAGTCTCTCGGAGTTGCTGGCTTATAGCTACAGCCCGCCGTTAAGGTATCCCGTGGATGGAAGTGGTTATCCCCGGCTGAACGTCCAAGGACCAACAACGGCTGCTTACTCAAAGGTAGTCCGAATCGGTGCTTTGCCTCTGCCCATACCCGGGGTGGCAGACGCATTGTTTTCTAGCTATCTCCGCCACGAATGTGCATTCCCGGTATTTCGGCAATGAATCTATAGCTCATGTTTCACTCACTGCTCCTGTTCTAGCATGGGGATAGTGGTGCGGTTATGTCCGCCCCGAGATGACTGCTGGCTGCTCGGCCTGCATCTGTCGTTCATCGACATGGTGGGGTAGCCTGTACCAGACATCAATGCGCAACCCAATCTTGCTACTCAGCCTCTTGCTTCATTGTTGTTTTCAGTTATCCTTCCCGCTATCTTCTTCATATCCTCGCAGCGAAGACGAACAAGCCTGCTAATTTCACGACCTGAGCTTGTGTTGGGCGACGAGAACAATTTTCGCCCTGAAATCCACCATGCCTCTAAGCTGTAAAGGGGCTTTCTCCCCTTTAGAGTGGCATGCAATTCTCCCCTTCCTTCGCCATCTGTATCTTCATTGGCACCGCCTCTGGCTTCGTCCTCAGCAAGACTGGGCCCTACCGGGCCATGCACGTCATGTCTTTCACGTTGATGTCCATCGGGCTGGGCCTGCTGATGACGACTAGCAAAAGGTGCCGGTTCTCATCAACTCGGGAGGGATGACCCGACCGAGGGGGAAATTTACTTCATCAATAACGCCTATGACACCGAGTTAGGCTACGCGGTGCTTACCTTAAAGAGCCGGGGCCAGGGCATCATGCTTCCTCGCGACAGCTGACGATGCGTCCCGACTGGGAGGTGATGATGGGGCATGTGCCAGACCACCTCTACTCTTTTGTTGGCGCGCACTTAGAGCTCTGGATACCCGACTGCGCTGGGTGACGGTGGAGGCCCGAAGCGGCCATCCTGCGCGCTTGTCTGCTCTACACCCTCCAGAAGGCAGACGATGGCGAGTAGTTACCTGGCTGGTGTCAAGTGCCGGACACTCATCACGGACCCGGCAGCGAGCTGGTACCACGACCCAGCCACGACGACAGATAAACTGTACAACTCGCTGGAAGGGCGGAAGGAGAAGGGGGTGGCGAACGAGGTGGCGTTTCGAGGACTGCGGGCCAAGGTAGGAAGGAGGTTCCGTATAATCGCCACAGAGAACATTCCTTTGTATAGACAATATCTGGGACCTGAAACCGAAACGGGGGTTTTGACGGGCAACGCGTCCGAAGTACCCATTGCATGACGAGGCTGCCATTATATAAATAACCAGGCGATCAATCATCTTGTTGGAGGGTGTATACGTCTTTATGGGGTCAGGGAGGCCTCTGAGCTGGCCGTGCTTGCGCTTGGGTGTATCTGGTGCTGTCTTATGACAATACAGTGGCGGTGACAGAGCCTTGCTCGTCAGGCAAAGGACAGCAATGAAGCCTATCATGAAACACCCGCAAATCATTCCAATGATAGCATCCGCAAAGATAGGAATTCGTGGCGCTGGAGTCAATGGTCGGTGCCTGCAGGCCGTCCCGGCCCGATTATCTAAATAAGGATCACCAACCAAGTCACCGAAAGCTTAGCCCACATCTTTCCAGATCCGTCACCGAGTGAAGGAACACGCGAAGGAGTTATCTCTTATCCAACACATCCAATATGGACGGCTCGCAAGAGAAGGTCGGTCGGATTCGTCTCTTCCATGTCGTCTCGATATTTAAGGTTATCTTTACGCGCAGCTATGTGTCGCGAAGAGCATGTGCGCCACTATCAACAGCAGGGGAAGTCCATGGATCTCAACGCGGTCGTACCGTTTGGGAAGGCAGGCGCATGGCTCCAACATGCAGGAACGGCAGTCGACACAAGTTCCAGTGCCGCTTGGCGGAAGCCCACACGATCGCCGCTGTGGGGGACGGCGGTTTTGAAACGTGTTGCTCACGAGTCACGAGTCACGACTGACGATGATGATGATGTTGGCCACAAAGGGTCCAGCCCCACGGGGCTTCGCCGCTGCGGAACGGGACCCATCATCGGTGACGCGAACAGCAACTGCGCTCGATTCCTCCCAGGCTGCCGGAATGTCATGACGCCAACCATTGGTCTGCAAGTTGATATGGATAAGCAGGGGGGCCGGAAACCACGCAACGACGATTGCGGCTCTGATATCTCTCCAGCTGGAGGCTGAGTATGCTTGTTCGATGTCTCGATTAGGCAGTCTTCCAGAGCTGGTTCGAACTGCCTTTTTCTCGTCCCCGGGACGGCAGAAAGGCCAGGATGATCGACCTTGCAGGCGGGGGCATGGCGTCCACAGTCAACGTATGAGCAACACCGCAGGATGCATGTGAGATCTCCCGCAGGATGCGCTAACCCACCCCGAGCCACCTCTAGCCTTTCAGCTGAGGCAATGAGGACCACGGTACTCGGCCTCGAGAGGATATGTAAATAGAAACAGACCCATTTATCAGCCGTGCGAAGGATTTCGCCGCATCTTGTGCCGATAGCCTTCTAAAGAACAAAGAGGGTCTACCCCCTTCTCTCGAAGATCCTCTTGTGCTTTCCGACATATCTCCTCCACTTCTTCTCATCAGTCCGGTCACCGGGTGGCCTCGACCTGATAAGGACTATTCTGTCGCTCTGGTTGGTTGGAGGAATATCGCCATGAAGGTGATATTATACATCAAGGACACGATATAAATGGCAATGATGTGCCCTCGAGAGACTATCTTCCCTCTCCTCAGCATCAGCAACCGACGCGCCAGAATCATGAAGTTCACTACACTTTCGCTGGCCCTAATATCATGTGCTTCAGCACGGGTGACGCTCTCGCAGCGCGACGAGGCGGGCGAGGCGCAACATCCCCGGATCGAGACGAGAGATGTCCCTAGCCCTCGGGCCAGCGGCTCATCTTCCACCTTCAAGGCTGCCATGAGGACCAGGGAGTTACATAAGAGAGACCGGGGCTTTGCTCCGACGGACCACTTGGAGTTCATCTACACCGATCGTAAGTGGGCCAAGCAATGGGATATCCAATGAACCTAGCCTAACCAGACCACAGGCGAGCAGCGCTTTGATCCTTATGGCTTGGAGGGGACCGAGACGACCGAGAGAGCCATCGTGTCGGGCTCAGCCATGTATCCCACCTACTTCTTGGAGAGATATCAGGAGCTGTCGCAGGTCGCGTGCTACGACAACACAATCCATCTTGTGTTCGAAACCGACGACGCATTTCGCGACGCCCAGTTGCAGACGAGGGACTGCGCCAATGCCACCGTAGTGACCTCTCACGATGGCTGTCAGGAGGAGGCAGACGCCAGGAGTTACTTCAAGGTCGAAGGGGTGTCGTACCACCCGGAGACGAGATCAGTCAAGTTCGAAGCAGTCGAGCGCGAGATCGAGGATGTGTTCCGCAATTTCACAATCGGTTTCGACCAGACGGACGAGCATCACGTCCGTCGCTCCCAAGCGCATGGCCTCGAGAGACGACAGGTGCCATCCGTGGTCGACGATGTCGTGGGCCCCCGCGACCTAGCCCCGACGGTCTTGGGTGCGAACACCACCCATACAGCAAATCTAGACTGGTATTCCAACAAGACATGGGACAGTCCAACCCTCCTCTACGGACAAATATGGGGCGGAGCCTATTACGGATGTAACAACTGTACGCAAAAAGGAACACTCGATATGTCTCACAGCGATTTCAAGCTCCATCTAGGTTCCCTCAAGAACTTGACGAATGGGGGAAAAGCAAACCCGGTGAGCGAGGGGTGGGTCCAGATCAGCCTGAAGGGCTACACCCTCCACATGGACACATGGATCATCGGCCAAGGGGGTTTGTTCAAGACGTTCATCCCGCAGGCACTCAAACATACGTTCGCTAAGAAGTGGATCCCTGGCATAGGGGAGATCAGCTTATTGTGGGAGCCCGTCATCGTCATTACCCTGACCGTCGAGCTGCCGGTGAAACTGAACTTCGGCTTCGACCTCGAGATCCCGGATTCGACCATCCGTATCGACCTGTCCGATGCGGATAGCGGCGCACAGGGCTTCGAAGGCATCAAGCCCAAAATGCTGCCAACGACCGCGAACATAACACATCCCGAGCTCAAGTTCTCACAGAAGCTGATAGTCCGGACCCCGATCACCGGCATGATCGGCGTGAAACGGACAAAGGAAGAGGGCAGCAACGACCACGATTCATCCCACGACGGCGACAGAGATGAACTCGGCAACGACTTGGAAGAGGACGACGGCTACGTGCTTGAGCCACACGGGGGCTTTCTGGTCCAGACGGGTCCCTACATGTTCCTCCCTCTAGTGGATACGGTTTTCTATCCCGGCTGTCCAGGCTTGCCGAGCAAGAACACCAGCAGGAGCAACAGTACCAGCCCAAATACCAGCCCAAGTACCAACCCAAGTATCAGCCCAAGTACCAGCCCAAATACCAGCCCAAATACTAGCCTAAGTACTACCATAAGTACTAGCATGAATACTAGCATAAATACTAGCCTAAGTACACGGGCAGACGGCACTTTGGTCAACTACGACGGCTATGTATTTCAAGTGAACAACCGATGGTCAATCAGCGGCGGTTGGGAGGTGCTAGCGGAGGCGCGGGTTCCAAAAATTGACCCAGGTTTCTTCACCCGTTTCCAGCATTTTGGCACCACCGTCACGCCGCTCGCCACCTGCCTCTCCATGCATTCCGGGCAGCCTACGTGGATCTCAGTTCCGAAGGGCGTCAGTACTGACGGGGACGGCGCGGCTGCGATCCCTAAACGCACTGCCGGACCGACAACCGAAACGACTCCTGAACCGACCCCCGGACCGACCCCCGGGCCGACCCCTTCGGGTTGGTGAAGATTGAGGCCAAAGCGGGAAAAGAAGATCCGGGCGTGGTTTATCCGGAACCCCATTGCGACGCCCCTGTGAGGATCGGCCTAAGAAAAGGGCTTTCATAGCTCACCAGAAACAAGTATGTGAAGACGAAGGTTTTTGATATCGAGACATCTTATATATTAGCGCTCAACGATGAGAATGAATAACGAATAGTATTGCAACTTTCCTCGAGCTTCGTCAGCAGCATGTAATGAGTGCGCCTATGACAGTGAGGTCCGATCCCAAAGATGGGTCGCAGTTGTTGCTCCCTACGTCGTTTGTTACGCTGCGCGTACGACGTGCCCATCTCCTCACTGGCGTCAAGCGGTCGGACAGCTGGACATGACACGCCTGCGGATGGGTATCCGCTGCGGCTGTTCGCGCTGAGGAGGTGGCTGTGCCAGAACTGTTTCCGGAACACGGGCAGCACAGCGGGGGCATTGACGATGGCACAGGCAACCGTCGCGTCTCGATGGGCCAATGTTGGTGCGGCTCCTCAGTTGCTCCGGTTGACGGGGTGACGACAAGTAGACTCAAAGGATGGCGGCAACCACGGTGGCAGATCCAGCGCAGAACAGGACGATCATTCCCAACGTTCTGCGGTCCGATACGCGCGCTTGGGAAAGGATTTGCCCGTTCCTGTTAGGGTCCATCTCAAAGCACAAAAATATAATGGTGCCGGGTCGTGTACGCAACGGGAACCGAAGAAGCAGCATGCCAATATCAGTCGCCAGGTCCATTGTCGAGACTGATGCCCTGCCTGAAGTCATGCAGCTGTAGGCCGAAGGAGATGCAGTGATGTACCTCTTTGACCAGTCAATGAATGGTTAGCAGAGTCTACATAAGACTCCCTGGAAGATTCACCGGCTAACTGATTGGCAGTCTGCCAGCAAGACAGCAGTCTCGTCATGGCAGCATATCCCACCGCGGGCCTGGCACCGAGGACCACAATGCCAAAAAGGCCCAAGTCATCGCTGTGAAGATATCTGAAGGCGGCACAGTGGGTGTCGCATGTGCTTTTGGGGTAAGAGCTGTGGCTGATGCGTGGGGACAGGGCAGTACGGTGAACGGCTTGGATGGCTACAGCTGGGCTCTCAACGATATCATCGCGGATGACCGCCAGAACCTCTGTGATCAACCTGCGCTCCAAAACCGTCTTCCCCCTCGCGTGGAATAACGCGTGGAAGACGGCGTTCACCAGGGTGTACCCACATTAGTGGTCGCGGGGAATATAAACTCAGACGTCTCTCGAGTCTCGCTCGCACGTGTAGCCGCGTCACTGACGGTCGGTTACAGTGACCGCAACGACAGCCGCGACAGTGTTTGTGAACGGCTCCGGCTGGCATATAGCGGGACTGGGCTATGAGCCTTGTGTACTCGAATGACGACGGCATGAGCGACGATGAGCGAGGTGCATCGTGAAGTAACACCACCCTAGTCGAGATGATATCAGTCATGGCTCATCATGCGGAAACCCGGTAACGAGGGATAGTCGCCAGTCAGAATGTGAAGGGTGTTTCGAGTATCATCATCTTGAGATCAAGAAAAGCAGGCCTGGAACAATCATCATACTGAGGGAAAGACAGGCGCTCATGCGCCTGAGGCAATGCATGAGACCTTACACAAATCGCGCAAAAGAACCGAGGGCACACCACTCGGACGGCCAACCGTACTGTGATCAGTCTCTGCTGAGGTTTCGGACCTCGCAAAAAGCCTTCCCGTGTTGAGGTCCACTGGCAGGTCATGAACCTATGAGGAGATGCATCATTGATGCTCGCCCGACCGCGACCAATTGGCGGCGGCTCGCTCCATCGGCGAAAGAGTTCGCTTCTCAGCTGCAATGTGTCCGGATTGTGAGCGTCAATCTCTCCCGTCAGACTTCACGATGGCATGACGAGAGGGGAAGAAGAAGGTTTGCACTTCACATCATGCTCTGTGATCTGAGGGGTGAAACACTTTAACTTACCTTGCCACGTGCAGGACCGAGCGTCCGCTCATCCAGGGCCACTTGTGACATCATCGTGACATGGCTGGAAACTCAGTGCACAGAACCTTCCCAGCCGCATTGAATGACCTCGTTCTCGTGGCATATCTTCCAAATTGCTCCTTCGACTTCCGGTAAATCATTCCTCAACCACCAAGCCCGCAGTGCAGTATCGAGGTATTTACGTGACAAGCACCTGTCAAATTGCCACGATTAACCCAACATGTCGTTCGCCGCCTTCCGCAAGTCCGAGCACCACGACGACCTCGGCAAGCTCGCCGAGCAACATCTAAAGCACGACCTCGAGCCGTCGGACCGCGACGCGCTGGTCAAGGCTTCGAAGCGAGTCACGTTACCCGCCACCCTCGGCACGCTCCTCGGCCTGGGCTTGGGCGTGTACGCCGCAGTCAGGCTGCGAAAGGTCCGCGCCGACATGTTCAGCGCCTTCCGTGCTGCTGAGAAGCCGTCGCACGTCATTTTCGCTGATGGACGGAAAGGTGAGTTTGCTAACTACACGATGATCGACATGAAGATGGTCTGGAGTCAGAGCTGATTCAGACTGCAGAGGCCATCCCCGACGTCACACCCCTGATGCGCCCTAGCAGATTCGGCGACATTGCCACCTACTTCTTCTTCGGCCTCGGTGGGACGATCCTGGGTGGCGAGCTGGGCTTCCTCCTAGGAACCTGGTCGGCGACGCGGGCTATCAGCAAGGATCCCGCGCGGAGGAGCAGAATCGAGAACGCGTACAGGAAGTTCCGAGCTGATATGCTTCGACAGGAGGCTTCGAGGCTGGAGTCTGGATCGTCCCCGAGCGTCTTCTGATGAGTGGCTACATGGCATTGGCCAGGTCGAAGTCCTCTGTATTTCGTGCCTGTGCAACTGATGGCCACAGGCATGAAATCACATTGATGATTGTACATTAGTGGTGAGATTCTGAGACGAGTGAGTAATGACAGCTTTCTGCAGCAGCACAGATGAGCACGGTCTCTGTCAGCCGTATGCGTGTTCACAAGCCAATGCCTCTATCTAAAATCAGTCTGTTCCACGACCGGGTCCATTGCCGCCGTGTATGGCGCATCGAGGCTGGGGAGGTCGCAACAGCTGTCCCTCCAACGCGGCAACATTGGCACGGTATGTCATCGACGACTCCTGCATTGTTGAATCCACCAGTTGACTTACTTGACAAAAAGGCCCGAAACCCACAAATCAAAAAATCCAAGAACACGACTCCAGCCTGAGAGAGATTCGAACTCCCGCTTCCGACGGACCTCCCATCCATTTTTGGGTTGAGCTGCGATCATGGGACAGCACTTTTAATTATCTTTTTTCTTTCTTTCTGAGATTCATGCATTTTCGCACTTTCATCTTTACGTCGGCGTGCAGACCACTACACCACCACGACCATTGAGCCGGTGCTTGAGCTGTTGTTAAAAGAACACGGATTGATTGGAGTACTTGTGCTTGTTCCTGCGCCGCTGTGATGCCGGTGCTATTGTACCTGCCGTGGAAGTGTCGTGGGTTGAGGCTGCTTCATCGTGCCTTCCTTCTTGTCGTTGTTGGTGGGGTATGTGTTTTGAGTCACCCGACCGCCAAACTGGGCAGCAACTTCTGAAGTCAGTCACAACATGGATATAGAGAGGATACCTAGGTAGGTAAGAGGGTGACAATCGTCGGTCAGATTTGGCGATGTTGGTATGTTACCTTGATCCATCCAAGCAGGGCGGTTGCACAGGTGAGTAGCCTAGGTATGTATGACCGACTTACTTCTTTATTCATCCTAATAGCATCAATGGCAGGTGAAAAGAACGACTTACATCCGATTGGCCCTCCCGGTGGTGCGTATTCGCATACAGCAGCAGCACGTAGCTGCTTTGAGCTACCTACCTGGTCATAACCCCCCCTTTTCCCCTTTCTCTGCAGTGACTGACCATTACAGAGGCGACAGTGTGCTACGAGGTTTAGATTTCCACTATGCGCCTGTGCCCATGCTCGAATCACCACTCGCCTTGCTGGCATTCAATTGCCACCCAATTGATTTCAAGAGCCATTCGACGATGGCTTTTCCCATTAGTAGTATTCCCGGACTACGCATCCGATCGAGCCAAGGCTGGATGCCATGCGCCTCGTGGTTTTGACACAAGCTGACGGAACACAAACCTCAAATTGCACAGCCCCTATGCATTCCGGAATCGAACATGGCTTTGCGGGCAAGTGGTAGTCCAACAAAGTTCCTGCGTAGCCGAGTTGTTCTACAGCACTCATGCCGCTGAGCTTCAACAAGCCACGTGCAATGCTACACAGGGCACTGCGAACGCCAATCCATGGACCAATAGTGTTGATGTTTGAGTTGCGCGTATGCCGGCTCTTTACTGCCGTGCATGGTGTTCTAAGTAAAGCTCATTCTGCATATGTGGCGCAGATCAAAACATGTGGCCAGTAATAAGAGTCGGACTTACAAGTCATGATACCGGTCCAGCGATCGAGATTGCCGTCTGGCAGCAGGCGTACGCGGCCTAGAATTCCATCGATTCGTCGCTAAAGCACACGGCAATTGTATTGGTGTGAGACTGAAGCTATCGAGAGGCGTCTCATGCAGAGTCAGAACCAGATGTCACCCAACACATGCACGTTGGCTCGGATTCATTGGCCGGAACCGCCAACGCACATGCACATTGGGGGCCGTGAAGGCAGGCTGGCAACACACCCGGCTCCCATTGTGGTGTTGGCGTTCAGCTTGCAGGACGACCGGGCTAGTCCACCATTCACATCCCCTGCCGGGCATGCCGGCTTACACCCTGCGAGAAGCACCTCCGCCATAACGAAGAAACGAAAACTGCGTCTTTTGGGTATGCCAATCATGGATCGGGGAGGGGTACTATGGCATTCTGTAAGCCACCCAACTCGATGCCTGCCGTCTCATTTTTCCCAGCGCGCAGTGCATAACTGCCTACCCTCGACGACTTGTCAAGAAGAGTAGATCCTCCATCTGGCTATCCTGCGATCAACGACAATCGTTTTGATTGCTAGTTCCTTTCGCTGCGAAAGAGCATCAAAGCGACCGCTTATCATAACTATGCCTGACTAGTCCGAGAAGCGGCTGATCTTCAGTCTTCCCCTCAATGTCTCGCGCGCCGGGCGGCCGGGATCGAGCCGGTGGTGGCGGTTTCGCACCGGTTCCACAGATCGACGCCACCGACGACGACGACAGTAACATCAATCAGGATGACCAGCAAGGGCAATATAACGGCCAGTCGCAGCGTCGGCGGTTCACAGCCGTAGATCGCTTCCGCGACACAGTGCAGCATGTCATTCGGCAGAGCACGATACCGCACGAGCAGGACTGGCTGAGCGTGGGCAGCTCTCCCGCGTTGTCGGACACCACACTGGTTGGCGCCGACTACCTCGACCTCCCGATCCAGCGATTCGATGAGGTGGATCTCGGAGACTATGGCAGCTACGTCGAGTACAGAGGTTACTACGGCCCTGAAGTCACGCACGCCGTGGACACGAGGGACCTTCAGGCTGGAGTAGGGATTGAAGTCAGGGACCTTTCATACTCAAAGAGCCTCAAGGCGGGCCTGGGTATCGAAGTGCGTGTCAAAGAAACCGCTCTCGACTACTCCCCCGGCGGACTTTACATCGATTTTCCCACGGAAGATTATGGCTACCGGGGCTCGGAAGGCATCGTTGAGAAGCACACGCCTAGCTCACCGGCCGATTACAACTATAAGCCACTGTCGCTCAAATGGCTGTTCTTGTTCCTCCTCTTCGGCGCGCTGCTTTTCTTCGTTGTTATTGCTGGGCTCGCTCTCCGTCTACTACCCGACGCGTCAAAGGCGGCCGGAACTCTCCCGGCCTTCCAGAATATCACCGAGATCCGTCGACGTTCAATACTGCCGAGCAGTATCAACTCAGAGAGTGTTGAACTGTTGCCTTTTGGAAAGCGACAGAATAATACAGACAGCGAAGATGCCACAGCGACTTCAACGACAACTGACTTGAGTACGACGATCGTCGATGCGGTGACCAGTGTCTCCACACCGGCACCATCAGTCACTTCTCATACTTCAACCTCCACACCTTCCGTTGAGCAGCCCACATCTGCTACTGTTCAAACTACCACAGCTGAAGAGACTACTGCGATCACCAAATCCCTCAACCTGCCTACAAGCACTGCTAATGCCCCTTCAACCTCCACGGTCGTTACAGCGAGTGAGCAAGGCCATCATGACCAGACGACAAGCACCACAACTCAGGATCTGCAAGACAGTACTACAACTACTACAAGGCAAACTCAGCAAATTACCACGACAAGCCAAGTTCAATCTACGACCACGACAAGCCAGGTTCAGATGACTACCACCATAGGCCCGAACCAACCATCCACCACTACGGAGGATGAACCATCAACGACCACACAGCGAGAAGGATCAACAACGACTACAAACGCAAACCAGTCCACGACAACTTCAGTCCAAGACCAGTCCACGACGACCACACATAGGGGTCAAACCCCTGATCCTACCAGTACCCAAGGCAGCGGCGAAGGCAGCGGCGAAGGTGACGGCGGTCACAACGATCCAACCCCGACTCAATATCCTGGTCATCACCCCGGATCCACGAGTACTACCACAGAGGCTCCACCAACGCAACCTGTACCTACAACGGAGTCGGTCACCAATGTCACCACTGATCATATCACTACAAGCCAAAACACAGGAACGACTACTACGCATCAGCAGACGGAACCTCAGGGGCTATCGCATACTGAGTCGGAAACCCCGCCACCCACTTCAATCCCCGATACGAGTGTCGTGACTAAACCCTGGGAATGGCCAACTACTACAGCCTCAGCTACGAGTGTTGTAATCCCACCTGTAGACTCAACACATACCACGACGACAGACACGGGGGCTATTACTGGTACTGGAAACCCTTCACCCACTTCAACCCTCGATACGGGTGTTGTCACTGGACCCGGGGACTCGTCAACTACTACACCCCCAGCTACGGGTTCTGTGACCCCACCTAAAGACTCAACTCAAACTACAACAGACACAGAGGTCGTTACTGGCCCTGGATACCCGTCCCCTACTTCGACCCTCGATACGGGTGTTGTCACCGGACCCGGAGACCCGCCGCATACTACCACCCTAGGAACGAGCATTATAACCACACCTGGAGAGTTACCCCCGACGGAGACCCCAGCTACGACTGCTGTAACCAAACCCGGGGATCAGCCACCTACCAACCTCCCAGACCCAGAAACAGAGAGTGTTACCGTAACTTGGCCACCCATAGTGTCTGGCCCTGGAAACCAGTCGCCTACATCCTCAACAGATTCAACGACTGTATCGCAGACTTTGACGCATGGATCTACGCCCACGTCTGATTCGACTGCGGGTGTGACAGTCACACTCCCTAGTACAGGAGATACTACCACGTATAGCTATACTGAGCCTACCCCGCCTCATGGTCAACCGACAACCTCGGGGACCACGCAAGCAGACACAACATCAGCTTCTAGCTGGGGCCTGGGTACTAATTCCCCCTCGACATTGCCAGCTGGTGAGCCCGGTTCTGTTACGACAAGTCATTCCTCCGACACTATCGGAACAGGCGGCGAGCCCAGTTCTGTCACGACTACAGAGTATACAGGCTCTTTTACCACGGGCCCCAACGCCGGCTCGACTACAACAGACCAGGGAACAGGGGCTATCCCGACCAGTAAAGACACTCTCACTACCACGACAGCAGGTGAATCAAGCCATGTAGAAACAGATGAGACCCCAGACCCTACTGGGACCAGACTTGGACCGGGTGTTACATCGCCGGCGGGTGTTGCTTCCCCGTCAACCACAAGTCGTGATCCAAATACAGACCACACAGTCACAAATGTCCCTGGATCCAATACTCCCTTGACATGGCCTCCAACGGAGTCACCAGACACTCCATCGCATTCCCTTAGTAATGCTCCTCCAACGAACTTGCCCAATACCGACCACGCGAGCAGTACGACGACCCTGAATCAGGTGAATACGCAGAACGGGTTGACCGACGGTGCACTGCCGACATTCACTCCTAGTCAGACCGTGGAAGGAGAACAGCCCCCAGTCAATGGCCTAGTAGCCGCGACGGACGAAGGTGCCCAAAGCAAGGCCATCGAGTTTCAAGCAGGCTCGGTCGACCAAGGTGTCCCTAACAAGACCATCGAACAGCTGGAGACAACGGGTTTGACGGCGATCTCAAGCGCTCAGATACATGCCAAACCTACCAATACAGCAAATACCGCTGTGGACGTTACAGCTTCAACCGCAGAAGAGGCACCACCACCTCCAAGTCAGCATACCACTGAAGAGCTAATGCTCGAGCCGTTCACAACCATTACCACGACTAGGGCCACGACGACACCGCCGCCAGTCACAACAACCCTTACAACGTCGACTACCCGGGAAGATGGCGTGTTCGTTCAGACTACCATCAGTGTGGTCTACCAAATCAAAGCCGACGCAGATGAGCCCTTAACGGACTATACCCTCGCTACGACCGATGCTGGTGGCAGTGCGACGACCACCACGTTCGTTGCTTTCCAATTCTACTCCACAGTGTATGAATATGACTCGGCCGGAAAACCGACCAAGACAAACATCCTGAAGATCCTGAGCCAACCTCAGAAGACAACCTTGACGAACGCACAGGGGGTCCCCACCGCGACCGAGGATTACTATGTCGTAGTAGGACCCGTTACGCTATTCGACAGTAACAACAATCCAACAGCGACAGTGAGCTCGACAATGGCCGAGAAAGCCGTCACATCCACACTACTGGACGAATATGGAATTGCAACAGCAACCGAGACGGTCTTATTGCCGATGACGACACTGACGAAAATCTCTCTGGTGCCAACACCCACAGCGGCGCCCAACTCAGATGGCGACCACAGTGTCTTGAAGCTGCACACGATATCCGAGGCAAAGTACTTCGCAGGCCTCTTGCTGCCGACCTTGATAACCATCGCGATCTCCATACCAATCCGGATCCTCGACCAGACCGCACGCCTGTACCAGCCCTTCCACGCCCTAGCCTTGGGAGCAACGGCCCCTGATTCCCTCTGTCTGGAAACGACGGGGATTTGGAGCTTCGTGGCCGGCTTCCGCTCCATGCGGCGCGGAGAGATCCTGCTCGGCATAACTGGGCTACTTGTCCTACTCAGCGCCGTTATAGTCCCCTTTAGCGCGGAGGTCTTCCGCATGATCCTACAGGGCCCGGACTGTCGGACGGGGCAGAGTGACGAGCTGATCTGCTCGGTAGTAATGGGTGTTTACCCCGCGCCCGCAATCATCGTCGTGGCTCTGCTCGTCCTCATGCTCATGGCCGTAACAGTGATCGCAGCCCGGCTCCGCGGCTGGAGATCCGGCGTGGAGCGCAACCCCTGGAGCCTGATGTACATGGCCGGCCTAACCGTACACCCAGACGTGCGCGACAATCTCGAGCGGCTACGCCGCCGAAACCGGGAGAACAAACCGGTCGGCCGCGGCAAGCTAGCCAAGGTCTTCGGCGGAAAAACGTTTGGGCTGGAGGAGTACGAGGATAATGGGGTGCTGAAGTACGGGGTGCGGATCCGCGACGAGGCGGGCCGGCCCATGGTCAGGAAGGACGGCAAGACGGTGACGTTCATGAACGCCGGCGGCAGCCCCCGCAGGAGGCGGAAGCTGGGGTTTGGGAAGTCGATGCCGTTCTTCATCCTCACGTGGACGGGCCGGATCTTGTTTCTGTTGCTTCTGAGCGCCGTGCTGATTGCCGTGCTCACGTACGATATCATTGCGCGGGGGTCGGAATACGAACGGGGACTTACTGGCAAGGCGGTCGGCGTGCGGTTTTTGTTTACTGGTGCTGGCGTTCTGGTTGCGCTCCTCTGGGGGTCGTTCTTTTATGGTAAGTCAATCGGCATCTCGGACGTCTGTCAACTTCGAAGCTAATTAGAAAACGCAGCCGTTGCCTTCCTCAGCCCGCATCGACTCCTCCACAGCCAGCGCGTCTACAAGGGCCAGGCGATCTACCTAATGCCCCCAACCAACCCCTTCAGCGGACTGATATTCGCGCTGAAACCCCTGAGTAGAGACCCTTACCTCTGCCTCGTGGCCGCCAGCGCCATCATCGCCGAGATCCTCCCCTTGCTGCTGGGAAACATCCCGTGCAACGGGATCCAGGCCTATTCTGCGGCAGAGACGGTCTGCACGTGGATGTCGGTGACGGTGCTGTGTGTCATGATCCTCACCGTCGCCGGCTCGTTCTTCGTCAACTGGCCTGAGATGCTGGTCGATCCGAGCACTATTGCCGGGGCGATGTATTACGCTTGCGCGCATATCTTGGCGATGAGCCCGACGGCGGGGCAGTTCTTTGGCAGGTTAAAGATGGGTGTTTGAGATGTTGATACGCCTGGAAATAGGGGGGTAATTTAGCATATGTATGGCGTTATCTAGGGCTTGATCGGAGGTTATAACAACGGCGTTCTCACTGGTACTTAGCTAGCTACACAACATTCAAAGATATCCCTCATTTGTTCTCAATGCAAGCAAGCAAAAACCCATGTTACATCAGTGCCCATAACCAATCCCCTGCTCAGCACGCTCAATCGCAATCCTCGTAAACTCATCCATGTCCTCCCTCGGGAGCCCCAACACCTCATTATCCAAGCCCCTCCTGCCCTCAAAGTTGCCCGTGCCATCGGGGTAGAAGACGCGACTATAGAGCAACTTCTGATAGGCGGCCTGCCCCTTACCCTCGCCCAGCTCCTTCTTCCCCTCGTCCACGCGCTCGGCGCTGGGCTGGTACTTGAGCGTCCAGTCCGAGGACGAGGTGCCTGAGACGCGCAGTACGGAGGCGAACATCTCCTTTTGGCTCATGAGGAATGATGATGTGTAGACGTATTTATTCTTGTAGTTTGAGAGGGAGGGTGCGCCGGGTGAGGCGGGGGCGGGCGAGATGGGGAGGGAGAGGAGGTTGGCTACTGCGCGGCCGGTCTGCGGCCAGGTCTGGGATGTGTCAGTCGAGTCAGCACGGCCGTTATCCTACCTACCTCCCATCTTGTGCACCACCCGTCGTGGCTTCAGGGGTAGGTAGGGTACTTACGATAGTGTTAATCAAAGTCTCCCCATCATCAAAGAACGTAAAAGTGCGGTTCTTCCAATCCATCCCGTACGTGTTCGGCCCCATCCCAAGACTAAACTCGTACCAGAACCCCGTCACCATGCCCATCCAGGCACTCACACCATGCTCCTCAATCTTCGCGCACACGTCGAGGATCGTGGGCCCCATGTACAGATCCCTGCCCACATCGTTGAATGAGACGTCGATGCCCCATAGGTTGGGCAGGATGAACGGCACCTTGGCGGCGGCGGCGGCCTCGATGAGCGCGAAGTGCGTCGCCTGGGGCGTGGTGCCCGGCAGCGTGATAATCAGGGCGTCTTGGCCTGCCAGGCCGGCGGCGAGAGAGGTTGACTCGGCGTAGTTTACCTTGGTGGCTTTGAGGCCCTGGGGCATGATGGCGTTGCTGTCTTGGCGGGTGAGGGCCGTGAGCTCGTGCTTGCCGAGTTTGAGCAGGGCTTCGACGATGGGTTTGCCGACTGTCCCGGTCGCCTGGAGTGGTGTGTTAGTGCTGGGCTGTCATTGAGGGTGGAGGTTGTTGGACTCACTCCCACGATGGCGACTTTCTTGATGTAGTTGGCTTGCGACATGATGCCTTGTGATGAGTTGGACCCTGACCTTGACTAATCTTGAAAGAACGTGAAATAGGTCGGTTGATGGCTTGAGGTTATTCGGGTTGATGCTTCGAATGATGTGTCCGGTTGATGACCAGAACCGCCGTCTGCCACCCGTCCTTTATAGATTTCTTGACAGCGTACACCGTACATCATTGCAGGCCACTAAGACTCTGTCGGTCTCAACCTCCTTACAACTTGCGTTCCAGTGCTTCGCGAATCATTATCGTCTCAACGGCGTTAAGCATGGTACCTAAGCTCCGTCGGCCTCCTTCATCGACGGGGTGAAGCCCAGGCCGACAGAATCGCTGAACACTCCTCACCGAGGTCCGAACTATTGACGTCGTATTTGATTTCAGCACTGGCAAAGCGCAACGTTTACTCGTGCTTCAGTCGGAGATTGAGGTATCGTCGGACTGTATCAGGATATAATGCCAGTGCCACAGTAACCCCGCCGGAGATATCATCTTACCCAATGCAGTAATCGATGGCATCCACGGGGTTAAGCTCACTTGAGATGCCGGAGTTCGGTGATAAGGATAGTCGTAACGAAAAGGGGCGCCGTGCGGCTTGACCCGGGTTCGACTGGAAGGTTCACTTATTTCCATTCAGGGTGCTTCTCTTAACCACCGCGGAATAGCTGCTATGAAGGGCCCACGGTGATATACGAGACCTTGTGAAACCTGACGATCAAGCCACTCATACAGGCTCTTGTCCTCCTCGCAAACTCGGAACCTCCTAAACGCATACAGGCCCAAGATTTGTATGTGGTCGGGGGCCTTGTAGACGCGGTCAAATGTCGCCCTTATCTTGCTGTGGAGAATAACAGGATTCCTGGGACACAGTTGATGAGTCATCACTAGGTTGAGATTCGAGACCAATGTCCCCGGCAGGCCCGGCCAACACGTACTGTTCGTATAATACTGGCCAATGATCGACACCCTGACGCGGTATCCCCACGGTCAGGGCCCCGTATCCCGCGCCCTATGTTCATACTAATAGACAACAATGGCAACATGCCGTCCCTGTCTCGCAATGACATTTTGGGGTAGATCTTCACAGTAGAGAATACGGGGCAAGTATCGTGGTCATGAGTTGATCGCATGCTGTGCTGGTGCCATGCTTGCGTGCAATGTCGCTCTAGAAAAAAAACAGCAGCGCTTAGCACCTTTGTGCTTTAGTATTTAGTTCTTATCGGGTTCGAATGGTCGGATTATAACACTCTCTAATTGGTAATAGTAGTCAAACACCGCCTGGTAATATAATCCTTACTTAACGGGTTATTTTAGAACGGGATAGAAGCGTTACTTTATAAACGCCATTATTAAAAAAATGGGTTTCGCGTTTAAATAAAACTAAAACCATTTAATTTCTTACTTTTTAGAAAAACATTTCATACTATTTTTCGATCGTTAAAAAAACCGTAGATATTATATACAATATTTAAAATTACGTTTTAGTTTAATAAGTATTTAGGTATTAAAACTTTACTTATGATTATTCTTAAATACGTGTTAACGGCATTCTTTATAAATAATAATACAATTAATTTTAAAAAATAGAATAACGCCGTATGTAATGGGGTTTTTAATATAAAAAGAAGATATTAGTTTTATTGTTGGAACAGGCTTGAACGATCAATCATAATACTCGAGTATGGTGTCAAGGTCATGATGTTGCTGATGGTTGGATTGAGAGGAATCTAGCTGGACTCGAAGGTCTGGCCAAGTGCCCTCTCAATCCACTATCTTATCTTATCTAATCATACATATGGGTCCTGGTATAGATGGTTTGCAGTCTGGAATCGCATGGATCCAACATTTATTGTAATTATTTTTGAAAACGGTATCGGTATTAGTTAATATCGTTTCGCTTTATTACATACAGTTTTTAAACGTTATATTAAAATTATTTTTATATAAAAAGTTAAACATGTTTAAAAAAAACATAAAAAGCTTTTTGTATTAGAAATGATCAGATTTATTATCATAATATGTATAAATTTATTTTCTGTTTAAATAATTAATATTTAGAGGATTTTATGTGAGATAATCACGTCGTAATTGAAAAGAAAAACCCCAATAAAACTTTAAACAAAGATAATTTTTTATTAGTGAGTAAAATTGAAAAAATATCGTAATTAATTGCCATTAAAACGTTATTATATTTCAATTAATTCATTTATTCGCCTTTAAAAGTAACGTGAATATTCTTTAACAAAAGTATCGAGCTTTTTTAACTAGTATAAATAGAAAGCTTAAATATATTTCTTATAGTTAAAAATATATAGATGTCATTATTAATCGTAATTAAGCCAAAATTAATATGTTTTAAGTTATATCGGCGTTAATTATACGTTTTTTAAATAGGGCTTTTATACATGTATAATTATTTTTAAAAAAAAATTTAATTTAATGATGAATTTTAAAAAATGAAGCTTTTTTTATTAAAATCCATTAAAGTTTTTTTGGGGAAATTCTTACCGGCAATTATATCCTGCTTTATATAAAGTATTGATATTAACCCATTTTTTCAAACTAAGGAAATAGATACGGAAAATTATATCAAGTTGTAGGATGGGTGGCTCAGGGTGCGTTTAAGAGGTGGTCTGTGCGCGGGGAATCAGGGTGGTATGTGCGCCATTGGGACGGTCAACTGGTAACCGTTGCCCCACTGCTCAACCGCTACGGCAACTGGACGCGTTAGTACTGCATTTGTATACAAATACGTCCACCTCAGGTAGTAGTGGAACACTTAGGTAATCCAAAAACGAATGAACAGTATTCCGGAACCTGAAGTTTGACACAAATATTATTTAAACTTGCCGTTATATTTAAAAGTTAAAGCGAAACGAACGTTTAAGAATGTTCGGCTTAAAAATGTTTAAAGGTTTAAAAATTAAGTTCTAAATTTATTAGAATATAAATTTCCGTATTTATATTTATATTATATATTGTTAAAAAAGTATCATTCATTATTATATAATCGCATGATAATGGTTTTCTTTCCAGAACCTACGTGAAAAACCATCAAGTATTTTCAAATAATAATTTATATTTAAGGCTAAAAAAATAAGTCCTTTAAAACTTTCATCATAATAAAAATAGTAGCTGTCATAGTCTGGTACAGGTAGCCCATGTGGTAAGTCCTAGAGCGCGAACATGAGTACATATACCATCATTGAATGTCAAGCTGTCACGCTTGATATTCAACATCCTTTTGGGAGGAACAGCCGTGGCATGGTGGTTATAGTGAGCGTTCTGTCACAGGTGGGGCTTCTATACAAAAAAGGTCGGTGCGTAACCGTGCGTCTATCTTTTAAAAAAGTCGGAATATCTCGGACCTGCTATATTTAATGTAGCCTTTTCTATAGATAATAATGATATATAGCAATTCTTTTTCACTGATTTAATAGCCTGTGCATCTTAAAAAAGCCCTTTTACAAGGATAGTTTTAGCGTAATTCGAAATAAATCTTGCAACAAAATAACGATAAACCTAGAAAAGTGACATTGATGTATTTTTCAGGTTATAAACCTTTAAAAAAAAAAGTCCGAGATCTTTCCCAAAAAAAATTTGGTTAATGAAAATTAGCGCACCGACTTTTTTTGTATGAAAGCTGTCACAATGCCTGCAGCGTTGTGCTGGAAAACTTGTGGTATTCCAAGAATAACAAGGTGAGGAAGGAAAGAAATCCAGGTATGTGTGCACGCAAATGGCTGTAGCACGTATGGTGGTGTCCTTCCTTATTCAATTTACACGTGACCTGATGACTCAGCATCCAACCAGGCAGATACAGGTGCTGGACCGTCACAGAAGCCCCACCTCGCAGCTCGCTGTCACGGCAAGCATACTGGGGAGCTGGGACATGGCCGGCAGCAAGCAGCTATTACTGTATTAACGAGAATATCAAGATTAGAGAGGAAAAGAAGAGAGAGAGAGATAGGTACAGCGGGAGGTTGCCACTTTAAAGGGATGCTCTGGTCAGATCCTTCCCTTATTGGGAAGTATCGGCTTATCATGTAGGAAGGTCTGTGCAGGCCGTCACAGGCGGCAGCGCGTGAGCGACATTGTGACGTTTGTGGCAACACTGGCTATGATGCGCGAACTTATACAATAGAGATAAAAACGTCTGAAGAAAAAGAATCCGATTGATTAGATTGAATTAAATGCGTTGTAATCGAGTTATTTGACATGTTGATTGGAAGGTTGGTTAGAAGTTGCTATTTGCTTGTCATCTACAATGTAGCGTATTTTAAGCAAGATTTTAAAATGTATTAAAATTATAAAAGCTATAATTATACGATATACTTATAATTTAAAAATGAAATTATAAAACCACTAACGTAGTCTAACGTGGATGACAAGCGAGCGACAATTATAAGCGAACGGCAACTTTTCACTAACCTTCCAACCAATATGTCAAATAACTCGACTACAACGTATTAAATTCAATCTACTCAATCGGATTCTTCTTCTTTGGACGTTTCTATCTCTATCGTACAAGTTTGCGCATTATGGCTAGTATTACCGCAAACGCCACAACGTTGCTCACATGCTGCCGCCCTCCTTGGACGACGACTACTTTCACCCATCTCCTGTCTTGCCAGCTCATTACCATCCTTTATAGCCTGGAGACCTATTATATTTTTAATAGAAAGTACTCCTCCTTTTACTAGACATTTGTTTTTTGTCCTCTGGCATTTATTTAGTAAGTGTTTGACCTCCTCTAGCTCGCGGACCCGGGAATCAACTAAAGCAACCTTATGTATAAGACCGTATATAGCCTTTAAAAATGAGCTCAATGCATCAATTATTGATGTAGGTGAGCTTCCCTAGTGGTTTCTGACTTGATTTTGGATATAAACCGACTGGTTTACCGCTTCATTGATGGTGGTACGCGTCTTCAAAGTCCAAGTAGCTGGTGGCAGATTGGGGTCTGGCGACGGTGTTCGTACAACAGTGGCGGCATCCAGC